GCTGAAGGTTCCTCCCCAGTACCGCCCCCCTCTCCCCCGACTGCAAGCCTGAGCTTGCAGCCTTTCAGACTCTGCTGCTGCGGGGAAACAACATCTGTTTCTGAACAGAACCTCTGCGCAGTTAGACCCAGTCTGCTCAGTAGCAATGGCCTAGGAAGCCAGGGCTGAGACCCTGACTGAGGAAAGCAAGTTTGGAGGCTGAGGACGCAGGCGTTTTGGCCGAAGAAGTGATTTCCCAGACTCAAACACAAGCTCCAGGATCGAATAAACGGGCTTAGAGCTCAGACCCATTGCCCCAGGAAGTTATTTCCTAGCTAAGGCTCATTGCCCCAGCAAGTGATTTTTCCAGGCCGAAGCAAAAGTCCACTCTAGGGCCCAAGTTTTCGCCTCAGGGTCCCTTCCTACTGTCCTCAGGCCAGAAAGGAAGATGAATGGACATGCTTAGAGGTGTGCGGGTTCTCTCACTTCACCGAACAGCCCCTTGGTGAAGCCTGGAGGATTCCCAGGGCCCTGGAGAATGAAGGCCACTTAGGTGGAGGAGACTAAAAAGCCCCAGAACTGAGTCACACCCATGTTCAAGTTCAGTTCATTTCAGACACTCAGTCGTGTCCGATTCTTTGCGAACCCATGGACTGCAGCATGCCAGGCCTCCCTGTCTGTCATCAACTCCCAGAGTTTATTCAAACTCATGCCCATTGAGTTGGTGATGCCATCCAATCACCCCATCCTCTGTCATCCCCTTCTCCTCCCGCCTTCAATCTTTCCCGGCATCAGGATCTTTTCCAGTGAGTCAACTCTTCGCATGAGGTGGCCAAGTATTGGAGTTTCAGCTTCAGCATCAGTCCTTCCAATGAACACCCAGGACTGATTTCCTTTAGGATGGACTGGTTGGATCTCCTTGCAGTCCAAGGAACTCTCAAGAGTCTTCTTCAACACCACAGTTCAAAAGCATCAATTCTTCGGCGCTCAGCTTTCTTTATAGTCCAACTCTCACATCCATACATGACCACTGGAAAAACCATAGCCTTGACCAGACGGACCTTTGTTGGTAAAGTCATGTCTCTGCTTTTTAATATACTGTCCAAGTTGGTCATAACTTTTCTTCCCATGTATGTCCCCCCACATTCTGGAGGTGTGACCCAGTGCCCAGGGCCAGCACCACGGGTGTGTGATGTGTGGCCCACGGCAGCTTGTGCCTCAACAGTCCCGCCGGGCTTGGCGCTCACTGCCGCCACCCTGAAACTCTTTACAATGAGTGAACAAGGGCCTGCGTACTCAGTCTGCACGTGGCGGGTCTCGCCAGCACCTTACCCGCAGGATCCTGCCCAAACACTGAGCTCCACCCTCCCATCCTGAAACATCTTCGAAGATGGTGAGACAAAGCAATCTCAGGTCCACCAGTGCCCGAAGAAAGAGGCAGGAACCAACTCTGCCCAGGGCAACCACCTGGCTGATTTCACCGAGCAGAAGCTTCAGGGAGACCGATTCCCAGTTCATTATAAAATGGGCCCGTTCAGCTTAGTTGGTACTTTTCGAGGAAACTGCCCATCTGGGCACCTCCTGCGTCTGTTTGGAAACCCCTGCTAGTACACAGCACAATTTCTTTAGTTGCTTTGTGATTTGGTTGGAAATTATGGGCCTCTAGCTGTTTTCGTGACAATTTGAAAACTGCGGTGACTAACCCAAAACAAAATTCATTACCTGTGACCCCGTTTTGACAGCTAAGCGGTGAGGGAGGAGTAGTCGTTTCTTTGGGTGTACTTTCTGAGGAGGTCAGACAAGGGTGCAGAAAAGAAGTCAAATTAAACCCTAACAGTTCCAATGGCGCTGTCCCAAAGTCATGTGATGCGGTGCAGCAACAAATCCCTCATTCCACCAGAGAACAAGAGCACTCAGCACATCCATAGAATTTATTCTGAGCATCACTAACAGGTGATTTTGTGTTTGTTTTGTTTTCAGTGTTTTATTGACGTGCAGCATATGCAGAAAAGTGTGCGGATCCTCAGTGAACAGTGTGAATAACAATCTCAGGTTGTCAATGTTTATCGAATTGTTACTACTACATGCCCAGCACCAGACATGTGCAGGCATCATTTAAATATTCAAGAGTGAGTGCTACTGTCCCCAGTTTACAGATGGACAGACAGACCCAGGAGTAGATGGCCCACCTACACATATCCAGCTGGCAAGCTGCAGACCCAGGATTCAAATCCAGGTTGCAAGCCCCAGATACAGTGGTCTCAAGTGCTACGCGCAATGGTTTGTGGAAGCCACAGTGAAGGAAGTGATCTGAGCCCATTCTTTCCCCTCCATAAACTCTGCTCCCCTTTCTGAATTCTGGTCTCACCAGATGGTTGCTTCAAGTGCACCGAAGGCCATTTCTGAAAATGATTTCTTGTTACTCCTCACATCCGATTTGTTGTTGCTTAGTTGCTAAACCATGTCTGACCCTTTGTCAACCCATGGACAGGAGCCCATCAGGCTCCTCCATCCACGGGACTTCCCAGGCAAGAATACTGGGGTGGGTTGCCGTTTCCTTCTCCAGGGGATCTTCCCGACCTAGAGATCGAACCTGCATCTCCTGCATTGGCAGGTGTGTTCTTTACCTCTGAGCCACCAGGGAAGCCTTCACATCCGACTAGCCACTAGATAATTTTGTTTCATTTTTAAATTTTTTTTTTATTTTTAACTGGGAGATATTTGGTTTAAAGTGTGCTGGTTTCTGCCGTACAACAACATGAATCAGTCATAACTGTATATAGCCCCTCCTTCTTGAGCCTGCCACCCACCCCTCATCCTACCCCTCTAGGTCATCACGGGGTGCCAGGCTGAGCTCCCTAAACCTCTAGATAATTCAGTCCTTCATACATCTCTTGCATTCACCCACTTCCCCCAATTCCCACCATCCTGGTCGAAGCACCCCTCCTCTCTGGCCTGGACCACAGCCTCATCACAATCTTCCTACATGGCTTCAAGGTACCCTTAAGACCAGACGGGTTCATTTCATGCAGGGTGCTCATTCTTTGAATTGTCCAGTGATGTTCATCACCTTTCTTCCACATAGTAAGTCTGGTAGAGTTAATCTCTGGGTTGTGAATTTTTCAAGTATGGCTTTTTTGTGTTATAGACAACACAGATGAAAACATGTTGAAATAGAATCGATATAAGCTTCCTGAATCCGAGCTAAAGCTGGGCCAGGAGACAGAGAAAAGCACAGCTGTGGGCGATCCCTTCATCTGGTCAAGGTGGGTGAGAGCCAGAGAAATAGGAGACCTGCTGGGCCAAGGAACTGCATTCTAGGTGTGGAGACCAGACCCAAAGACGGGTGGTCCTAAACCCTGACTGTGCACTGGAATCACGCAGGAAATCCTTCAAAGTCCCGATGCCCGGGCAAAACTCCAGACCAATGGCACCAAAACCGCTGGAAATGGGACGTGGGCATCAGCATAATTGGAAGCTGCCCACTTGATTCCACTGTGCAGCCAAAGTTGGGGCACTCTGCTGAAAGCATCATTATTCCACGAGGGCGCAGAGAACTGTACAGAAGCTTTCAAGAGTCGGGAGAGAACAGATGGACTGCATCGAAATTCTCATACAGCACTTTTCGGGGGAAGTGGCCAGCTGCATTTTTCAGGTGACTAGGGGAAATTACAGCGCTGCCCTTGACCCCAGAGAAGACAAATGCTCCCAACCAGATCAGGATCCTCCAAGCTCCATTAGAAGTAGCAGAGTGGCTCCCCCTAGCGGATGTTAGAGCACATTCAATATAGCTTGCCATCATTTGAACAAGGGGATGTTAGCACGTTCGATGTAGCTTGCCATCGTTTGAACATGGGGAGGTCTCACATTTTAAAATCCTCTAGCTCTAATTCCTCACTGAAAAAAAACCGAGAGAGGATTATCCTGGGGTCTCGTCCCCAAGGGACGACAACTTGCAACAGCTGAGCGGTGGCCGCTCCTTCGACGGGCTTCTCTGCAGGGCTTTCCAGAGAGGTTTCTGGAAGTTCCCCAGGGGGTTGAACTTGGCTCTGATCCTTCCTTAGAACACGGTTAAGCCTGCCTGCAGAAGCACGTTCTCCAATATAAAAAGGTAACAAAAAACCAAGTTGCCCATTTAATGAACTAAAAAAAAATTCCAGCTCTAATAATTCAGACTTATTCTCTCTCCTTTGTTTAGAAGCCTTGTGGGGGTTGGTGGGACATGGGTTGAGAGGGAGAAAGGGGACAAAGATGACCACCCAAGTGACCCCTTGGGTCTGTCCTATTCTCCAGCCCATCAACCCTGCTGCCTCCGCATAGCCAGCGGGGGTGCAGAGACGGGGGTTCTGGAAAGGTCAGAGCGCTGTGTCTCCTCCATGTTCTCTTCCAACAGCCAACCCCCCAACCCCGGAGAAGAATTGGCACAGTGGAGCAGGGCTGGCACTAGAGTCAGGGCTGAGATTCTATCCCAGGCCCACCGGTGCGACTCTGAGCAAGGTGCTTGACAACTCGGTGCCTCAGTTTCCCCATCTGTCACCCAGGGAAAACCAAAGACCCTACCTCACTGCATGCTTCTGAGGGTTAAAAACCATCATGTGTATAAGAAAATGCCTGGAAAAGCACCTGGTATGCAGTAAGCATTCACTAACCAGGAGCTCTTCTTTTTGTGATAGTTATTAAATGAATATTTGTTATTAAAATCAACCTGAAGACTAATCAAGGAGTGAGACTGAGGGAATTCCTGGGTGGTCCAGTGGCTAGGACTTTCACTGCCGAGGGCCCAGATTCAATTTCTGGTTGGAGGACTAAGATCACAGGCCATGTGGCATGGCCAGAAAAAAAAAGAGTGACTCTGTGCTTGAAATGAGAGAACAGAAGTTCAGAGCATGATCTGCCAGCCCAGTGGACAGATGGGAACGGATCCCCAAAGCTCAGGATGGCATGAGTCGGTGCCAGGACTACCCCCGGTGCTAAGGCTGCCCCCGGCCCCACAGCTTGTCAAATGAGTGGACTTGATCAGGCCCAGCAGGTTTGTCAGGGTCCCCTGAGCCCAGGAATCCCCTTTGTTTCTTTAATACGGATCTACGCCCTCTGGCCCAGCCCTGCCCTGGCAGACCTCTGAGCTGTTGGCCAGCTTCTCCCCGAGGGCCCGCTTATGCTGTCTTCACAGTATAAGAGAGCTCCGGCTCCTCCCTGGGGGGGCTGAGGAGGTCATCTGTAACAGAGAAGAGCCGGGTCTCTGGAGGCGTTTTTGTGTCCATCAGTGGAGGAGCCAAACTGGGGTCACAGGGGAGCACCTCACTCGCCAAAGTCCTCTCTCCTCCGTGGAGAGTCTCCCATCGCCATCGGCCACGGCCACGGCCCCACTGACGCCAGGAGAACCAGGCTGGGAAGTAGTGAAACGCTGGATCTAGGGTGACAGGGAGATGAAAGAGTAAGCGAGGGGTGGGCAGGGAGAATGGGACGGGGGTGGGCGGGAGCTTCAAGGGGGAGGGGACATACGTATACTTAGGGTTGATCCACGTTGTTGTAGGGCAGAAACCATCACAGCATTATGAGGCAATTATCCTCCAATTAAACATTAAAAGGAAAAAAAAAAGACTGGGACAGGATTCTCGGGCAGAAACCAAAAGTCTCCTTCTCTGACCCTGTTAATGGTGCACCATATACCCTAGCATGTGTAAAATAGGACAGCTAGTGGGAAGCTGCTCTCTAACACAGGGAGCTTTAAGACCCAGAGGGGTGGGATGGGGTGCGAAGGCGCAAGGGGAGGGGATGTATGTATACATAGAACTGATTCATTCGGTTGTACAGCAGAAGCTAGCGCAACAGTGTAAAGCAATTATACTCCAATAATAAGAATTGTACACAAACAGGTCAGGCTACGTGATTTGTGGCACCCATTAAAAAAAGGAACATGCGGGGCCCCTTGTTCAAAAATTAAGAATAAAAAAAAAAAAAGAATTTCGGAGGACTCCCCTGGAGGTCCAGTGGTTAGGATTTCATGATTGCACTGCCAAGGGCTTGGGTTCAATCCCTGGTTGGGGAACTAAGATCCCACAAGCCACGTGGTGTGGCCAAAATAAATTAAGAATTTCAAGATGAGGACAGCAGAAGGTTACACAAAGCACGAGGCTCCCCTGAACAGGCAACCTTGTGGGACTGCACAGGGTGACCACTGTGAAGCTGGCCCTGAACACAAAACTTGGAGTGCGTATCCAGGTGTGTGGTTTTCTGGGAAAGGGGCCCTCAACTGTCAAGGTCATGACCTGACAAGGTTAAGAATCAGTGTCTCTGAGGTTGAGTGAAGGTCCCTGCTTCTTGCCAACGCCTCTTTTCTCCACGTGGACAAGCAGTGAGATATACGGGCTGACCTGGGGGCGGCTGTGGTGGCCCTGGGGACAGAGAGAAGTGATGTGTGAGAGATGGCGTTTAGGATGTTGCTGATGGACTGGACGTGGGTAGGAGGAAAAGACAGGCATGAAGCCTGACTCCTGGGCTTGCAGCTCAGGCAGCTGGGCCAACCAATGGCAGCGCTCTTTGTGGATATGGGGACCAGCTGGGAAAAGACGGGGTGCTGTGTTTTGCTTTGTGGGGTAGCAAAGGGAAGGAAGAATCCCATTCTAGCCATGAAAAGGCCTCGAGTGGACAGATAACAGCTCAGAGGGTAGATTAGAGCAAGAGATATTTGGAGTCACTGGCATAGAAATGGCATTTACTCCCACTGGGATGTCCTAGGTGTCCTTGTTGTTCAGCGAGGGTAGAACTCTGATACTCGGGCAAATTATTTAACTGCACTGCCACTCCACATTCCCTCATCCAAGACTCTGTAAATGAGCTTGCGAGTGCTTAGCAAGGGTCCTAGCCCCTCTTAAAAACCCAGTGACTATCAGCCATTATTATTACTATTACTGTATTTTTTAAAGTTTTTTTTTTTTTTTATGTGGACCATTTTAAAATTTGTTGCAATGTTGCTTCTATTTAATGTGTTTTTTTGGACCTGAGGCATGTGGAATCTTAGTTCCCTGACTAGAGACTGAACCCAAACCTGCTGCACTGGAAAGCAAAGTCTTAACCACTTGACCACCAGGGAAGTCCCGTTATTACTATTACTACTGTTATGATGTCATTTGCCTTCCTCTTACAAATATCTATGGAGCCCCCATTGTGTCAGGCATTGCTGTGGATGCTTAGGAAGAGAGATGTCAGTTATCGAGCATGTCAGGGATGTTAAGTGCCATGGCAAAAGAAATTTTATAGCAGAGTAAGTGAGGGGGAGAGAAGATAGTATTGAGGAGATTGGCTGGGGGGCCCTACTGAAAAAGTGACATTTGAGCAGGACCTTCGAGGTGAGGGATGTCTGGAGGAGAAGTTTCCAGGCAGAGGGAAGAGCCAGGACAAAGATTCTAAGGAGAGTGGTGGGAGGTGAGGTCACAGAGATGAAAGGCAGGGGGACCTTTGCAAAGAAACCCTTTATGGCAGGGGTGACTGGTCCTCTAACCTGCAAAACCAGATCTCCCACACAACAAGGCAGAAGGTTCTCTGATGGCAGAGACCTCAAGATTTCCAGCACAGTGGAGGGAGCAGACTTCTAGGATGGCAGCCGCCCTAGGCTTTGGGCAGCGCTGAGGCTTCTGGTTCCAGCTCTCCAACCCTCAGAGGGGCCTCACCGGGCAGAATAGGCTCAGCAGCAGGGCCTCTCCTCCTCTTGGCTGTGGAGCATCTCCTCCTCGCAAAGCTCAGCAGGGTCTTTGCTCCAAGGCTCCCAATCGAGGCATACATCTGAGTCATTTTCCTCTGAATCTGTGGAGGGACAAGACAAGGCCACTTGGATGGTCACTTCTTATCTCCTATTCCTGATGCTAAAGGAGTCCCCTGCCAGATACAGGCATCCTTGCAGCCTTATCTGAGGTCAGGGGGCCAAGGCAGAATCATGACGCAAGAGACAGTCCTCCCAGGAAGATTTCAGGGCCTTGAATGGTGGCCAGAAACCAAGAAAGAAGGCTGGCCCACGAAATACCAACCTTCTAGAAGGAGGACCCTAGAGCGTCCCTGGTGGTATAGTGGGTAAGAATCCGCCTTCCAATGCAGCAGACACAGGTTTGGTCCATGATCTGGGAAGATCCCGCATGCCATGGGTCAACTAAACCCATGCACCATCACTATTGAGCCCGAGATCTAGAGCCTTGGAGCTACAACTACTGAACCCGCATGCTGTAACTACTGAGCTGACAAGCCCTAGAGCTCACAGTAATGAGAAGCCCATGCACTGCAATGAAGTGTAGCCCCCACTTGCCCCAACTAGAGAATGCCTGAGCAGCAACAAAGACCCAGTGCAGCCATAAATAAATAATTTTTTTTTTTTTAAGTGGAGGAAGGACCCTAGAGTTGAGGAAATGAACTACCTGCATTGAACATGGTCCAGGAGGGGACACTGAGGAGACACAAGCCCGCCTGCCCACCTGTTCATCCATTGGTCCACCTGTCCATTCATTAACAAAGATCTGAGTATATGTGTCCAGTGGTTTTTCTCACAGCACTGTTCTTTGGTAAAGCACACACACACTAAAATGCTCCAGAAACCAAGTGTGCATCCATCACGAGAGGTCTGGGTGATGAAGTGCGGCACACTCACACCACAGGACCCCTCCATCCTGTGGCTGTTACACGTTAGGTCTGTATCCTTCTGCCTGCGGGATGTCTGTGGTGTATTATTGGGTTGGTCAAAAAGTTTGTTCGAGTTTTTCAGTAACCTCCTTCCCCCAGTGAATTTTTTGGCCAACCCGATCGATGGCGTTGCAAAGAAGTATATGATAGAATCCCTTGACTTTTAGAAAACTTATGAATTTTTGCCTAACTAAGAAAATTATGACATTTTGATTCCATTTGTTTGATTTAGTATGAATAGAATGCTAGATTTCTAATTTAAGAAATAGATGTGCAACAGGTAAAAAGGTTTACTGTATAGCACAGGGAACTACAGTCAGTATCTTGCAATAACCTATAATAGAAAATAATCTGAAAAATAATATACATATACATATTCAGTTATACATATACACGTATGTATTGTTTGTGTACATGTATAATTGAATCACCTTGCTGTGTACCTGAAACATTGTAAGTTAATTATACTTCTATAAAATATATAATTAAGGAAAAAAATCCCTTTTTAAAAAACCCAAAGAACACACTTCCCATTTTTTAAAAAACCTACATGTACTATTAAATTGGCACATGAGCTTGCTGACATGGCTTATCTCTGAAAGGTAAGTTGAGAAAAGAAGGCAAATGGGAGAGATTATTATTTTTTCTTGGTATACTCAAGGTGTTTCACCGGTTACAGAGAAGTAAAGGAGGCTGAAAATAGCCCTTCAAATGCAGACCAAGAAAAGGCCAAGCCTTGCTTTCCTCCTTTGTAAAATGGGCATCATAATAACTTCTGGTATAGAGAGGGTTAAGTGACAAGTAAGATATGTTAAACAGTCTTTCAACTACCTTAGTAGTTACTGTGATTTAAAATCAGTGTGATGCTTCTGGGCATACACACCGAGGAAACCAGATCTGAAAGAGACACGTGCACCCCAATGTTCATCGCAGCACTGTTTATAATAGCCAGGACATGGAAGCAACCTAGATGCCCATCAGCAGATGAATGGATGAGGAAGCTGTGGTACATATACACCATGGAATATTACTCAGCCATTAAAAAGAATTCATTTGAATCAGTTCTAATGAGATGGATGAAACTGGAGCCCATTATACAGAGTGAAATAAGCCAGAAAGATAAAGACCATTACAGTATACTAACACATATATATGGAATTTAGAAAGATGGTAACGATAACCCTATATGCAAAACAGAAAAAGAGACTCAGATGTATAGAACAGACTTGTGGACTCTGGGAGAAGGCGAGGGTGGGATGTTTCAAGAGAACAGCATCGAAACATGTATATTATCTAGGGTGAAACAGATCACCAGCCCAGGTTGGGTGCATGAGACAAGTGCTCGGGCCTGGTGCACTGGGAAGACCCAGAGGGATCGGGTGGAGAGGGAGGTGGGAGGGGGGACCAGGATGGGGAATACATGTAAATCCATGGCTAATTCATTTCAATGTATGACAAAAACCACTGCAATGATGTAAAGTAATTAGCCTCCAACTAATAAAAATAAATGGAAAAAAAAATTAATTAATTTAAAAATAAAAAATAAAAATAAATAAATAAATAAAATCAGTGTGATGAACTTCCCTGGTGGCCTAGCGGTTGAGAGTCTGCCTGTCCATGCGGGGCACACGGGTTCAATCTCTGCTTCGGGAAGGCGCCACATGCCACGTGACAATGGAGCCTGTGCGCCACAAGAGAAGCCACTGCAATGAGAGGCCTGCTCACCGCAGCCAGAGTAACTCTGCTCGCTGCAGCTAGAGGAAACCCGCACACAGCAGCAAAGACCTCGTACAGCCAAACATCAACCAATCAATCTTTTTAAAGAAGAACTGAGATCATTAAAAAAAATAAAATCAGTGTGATGCAGTGACTTTTCCTCCCAAGAGACAGTGACTATTTTTTGAACACATCCTCTGTGCTGGCTTTATTTTTTTTTAAATGAAGGATAATTGCTTTACAGAATTTTGTTGCTTTCTGTCAAAGCGCAACATGAATCAGCCATAGGTATACATATGTCCCCTCCCTTTTGAACCTCCCTCCCATCTCCCTCCCCACCCACCCCTCTGGGTTGCTACAGAGCCCCTGTTTGAGTTTCCTGAGCCATTCAGCACATTCCCATTGGCTGTCTATTCTACACATGGTAATGTGAGTTTCCACATCCCTCTTTCCACTGTGCTAAGTGTTTTACGTGCACTTTCTCATTGGATCCCCTTAACAACTTCATGAAGGCAATTACCAGTGTTATTCATCTTTTGCAAGGAAGGAAGCTTGGAAAGGTGAAACAACCAGGCTCCCACCAGGCTGTGGTAGCTTGGGACTCAAAGGCAGGTTCCACAGTCCTGTGCAGTTCCGTCTGGGGCCCTTGTTCGAAGGCAGAGTTCAGAGGCTACATCCTGCTTCCCCATTCAGGCTAGGGATTGGCATCACTCCCCTTCCCGCTCTTCAGGGCTCAGCTGCCACGATCTTTTCTTTTTCTTGCCTCTGCTCTCATCTCACCCACTTGCTCCCAACTGCACTTGGAAAAGTGCCTCCATCCTCATGGGATGCATGGGTGCTCAGACCTCTGCCTTCTGGGCTCTGAAACTGCCCCACTGAGCCAGGCCAAACAGGGATGGGGAGGGGGGAGCCAGAACTCCTCTTGCCTGCTGTTCATACTGGATTCCAGACCAGACTGATCCCGATCAAGAAATCTAGGGCAGAATAGAAACCCCTGGACAGGGTGCCTGGAGTCCCAGCCCAGTAAGCCCTGGCAGACCCAGACCCTGGGTTTGGCCAATTCTCAGCACAAGGACAGAACAGACTCAGTAATACTGAGAATTCCAAGAAGACAGGGGCCCTGGGGAAGGCTGCTCCCCTCACTTTTAGGACGGTTTCTCTTCATTGCAAAATTAACAGAAGGATGTCTTTCAAACTGTCACGTGAGATGTCGGTGGGTGAACACCGGTCAGAGAAGGGGTCAAACAGGGCAGGTTGTGGGTGGCTTAGAGCTGAGCCTCCAAGGAGAACGAATTGCTGGAGGAGGTGTCCCACTTTCCAGAGGAGTCACCCAAAGCCACGCCTACACGTCCTCTAACCTCGACGCTGCCTGGATTACTTCTCAGCTCTCGAGCACCTGCCAGGTGCCATGTGCGTCCGTGTGCCCTGCCCTTGACATGCATCTTTCCACAGGCCTAAAGGGAGGGGACCATTATCCTCCCCATTTTGTAGGGGAGAAAACCAAGGCTCAGAAAGGACTTGTCCCAAGTCACACAGCTGGCAGGCGGCAGAGCCCACACGGGAAGCAGCGGGCACCCTCGAGTGTTTTATAGGCATGTAAGCTCTGGGCAGGGTGCTTCTCTCCAAACTTCACTTTCCTCAGTTGTGCGATAGGGATTATTTCACAGCGTTCTCCTGGGGATTAAATGAAATAATACACATCAAGTGTTTAGCACCAGGCCCCAGTACAGTTTTCACAAAAAGCTATGTTATAACTAAGGGCAAGGCAGAAGACGTCCCTGGTGGCCCACTGGTTAACACTCTGCACTTCTAATGCAGGCGGTGCGGATTAGATCCCTGGTCAGTGAACTAAGATCCCACAGGCTGTGTCTCGGCCAAAAAAAGCAGGCGGTGGGGGGCGGGGAGGGGGAGGGGCGAGGCTGAAACCTGGGCCCACCTCCCCTAGGCGCCATGAGACGTGCTTCTAGTGCCACTACCCAGACAAGGGCTCCGCCTTCTACCTGACACCATGACACCAGCCCTCAGCCTGCGGTCCGCCCTGGGAAAGAGAACACACTTTAGACATTTTTCCGGAAGCCCTCGCCGGGAACTCCCAACTGCACAATTCCCTGCCCCCACACTGGAGATCATGGGACAAGCAGGCGGTGAACTGCTCTGCCGGTCTGAACGCCATCTGAGCAGAGCTGGCAGCACACCAGCGCCCTCCCTGCCCAGCTGGTCAAAGGTGATGGGGTGGCGGAGCAGGAGGTGGGAGGTCAAGCGGTCCCCAGGAAGAGGTCCCTGGGTGAGGGGAGTGGCTGGAGGCGGGGGCGGGAGCCTTGGGGAGCAGAGTGCCATTCCTGACGCCCCTGTCCCCGCTGGCCCACCGCCCCCAGCCTCCCTCAGGCCAGCTTCGCCCTGCCTCCGGCTCCTCTGGGCGGTTGGCTGAGTTCAGGACACATGTCAGCCGGCTTCTGGGTCCCACAGAAACCCACATCCTCCCTGTGGCACGATCTGAAATGGAAACCGTGAGGGGTGTCTGTGTGCGCATGCGCGCTCAGTCGTGTCCGACTCTGCGACCCCATGGACCGTATGTAGGCCGCCAGGCTCTTCGGTGGGTGGGATTTTCCAAGCAAGAATACTGGAGTGGGGTGCCATTTCCTACTCCAGAGAGTGGTCTCCGGGTGCCTGCTAAATGCCTAAGGCCGCTGTACCCACCCAGCTGGTTGTTGATTGAAAAAGCACCAGGCTGAGGGCAGAGAGGGGCTGAAAGCCAGCCCAGGCTCTACGCCTGGAGCCTTGGCCCTGGCTGCGTCCACGGGACGGACAGCACTTACTGCTTCATCAGCCCAGAGGGGCCACCTCTTTCCAGCTTATACCAAAGACTTATATGCTAGCGGAGGCCCTGAAGGGACACCTTGATTTCTTTTTGTATTTGCTTATTTATTATTAAAATTCAGTTCCTCCTAAATTACTGGTTGGTCACAAAAACAGAAAGTGTTCATTATCATGCTGACACATTTTACATTTGATACCATCTTTCATACAGAAAGTATAGTTCTGTTATTGTTTATATATTTATAAATACAAAAATAAAATATATTTTACATATATATTTTTATATTAATAGCTCTTATTACCAGTGGTACATGATTACTGCTTATTCAGAAATCATGAATTTTGTATATATGACAACCAAGTCCAAGTACATTTCTGTTCCAGGTTTATTTTACCATAAATGTATTTTTATTGTAGTGCAATAGTAAATTGTTTTATCTTCTATCTAGAATACCTTAACCAAATGTGCAATCACACTCAAAATAATTTCATACAGACCAAAAACTCTGTGCTTAGTGGTGGCCCTGTGCACAGACATGCACACATACGTGTTGTTTCCCAAACTCAAGATTCACTCTGGGACTCCAGGTTCAGAAACTCTAAACTAGCAAGTCAGTCCTTTCTCTTGCAGGTGACTGTCTGTTAATGCAGAGCCAGCAGCTAGAACACCTGAAGGAAACCGTTTTCTTGACAGTTGATTCAGCAACCCCACGCTGTTCCATGCCCTGCCCAGCTCCAGGATTAGAGCCCGGCCTGGGCAACTCACCTTGGCTGAGTAAGAAGCGTAGCCAGATGATCAGCAAGAACAGCAGCAAGGCCACGGGCAGACAGAGCCAGAACACCAGGAAAGAAAAAGTCAGCTCGTTCACCAGTGGCACCAGAGGGTACTTCATGGTGCGTGTGTGGCTAGGCCGGGCAGGCCTGGGCTGCCCTGGGGACCTGGCGGGCCGGGCCACGCTCTGCTCTCAGCCCAATTGTGACTGAGCCAGTGACGTAACAAGGAAGCCAGTTTGTCCTTCAGGCCAAGAGAAAGCTGTTCTGGACAAGTGGGCAGAAGCTAGGGTTGCGGGACGGTTTGAGAACAAAAGCCCAGGCTCCCAGGCGGGCCAGCCTGGGTTTAAATCCCTCTAAGATGCTGTGGGATCACAATCCTCTTGCTTGTTCAGAAATCATGAATTTTATATATATGACAACCAATTCCAAGTACATTTCTCCACTTGGAATTTCCTTACTCCCCAATCCTCTTGCAGGATGGAAATAATCCTTAGCACGCCAAAGTGCTGCAAGTTAGAAAAAATGGATACAAATTGCCCCCAGGAGGGTGTTCACTTATCTGAGGTCACAGACTCCTCCTGGAGCCAGACAGTAAATGACTATTATTTAATCTGGAAACTTCTGTATCTCTCCTTATTAGGGTTTTTGGTGAAGAGCTTCTAAGACTTTGAAAGTAAAGTGAAAGTAAAGTTGCTCAGTCGTGTCCTTTGCAACCCCATGGACTATAGCCTACCAGGCTCCTCAGACCATGGAATTTTCCAGGCAAGAGTAGTGGAGTAGGTTGCCATTTCCTTCTTCAGGGGATCTTCCCAACCCAGGGGTCGAACCTGGGTCTCCCGCATTCCAGGCAGACGCTTTACCATCTGAAGCCCCTCTAAGACTTTAACCTTGTTCTTTTATCTCTCATTCTTTCATTTGTAAAGTAGCCAGGAAAGCTCCATGAGTCAGGCCCCACGGAAGGAAGGAGGCCCTGGACTTCCCAGGGCCCAAGAGCACCTAAGCTGGAGGGAGGCCCTGGCCAGGCTGGGAGCCTGATGGGTGCAGGAAGTCTGCTTCAAGAGTGGCTGCTGCTCGTGGAGGGGATGGAGGGAGGGAGAAGCCTGGTATCCTCCAAGAGAGTGCTTGGCCCACCTGCTTCAGCCACTGCCAGCAGATGGGGGTGGGGGGAGGGGACCTAGGAAACAGGCCAATTGGCACGGTTCACCCTGCTTGGCAGAGTCAGAACCTCTGGGGGTGAAGCTTGGACTCCACACATCAGTGGGCAACCAGTCTGATGCCGACTTGATTTTGAGACCACGGCATCAAGTGAAGCACGGGTTGGAAAGTCAGGCAGACTCAGTTCCAGGCTGGGGAAGCAGCTGCAGGAAGCGGGTGGTAGACTTAGGGGAGACATGGGGTGGACGGACCTCCTTAGAAGACACTGGCCAAAGGAGAAGGGCAGGGGGGTACACCACTGTAAAAATGGGGCAGGTGTTAGGGAAATTAAAATAGAGGAAGTCTTATTCAGGCTTCCGAAGGAGGAGAGCAGGCCCCTGACTTACCTGGACATTGCCTGGATTCCAGGCCTGCTTGCAAGCACACCAAGTCAGGCAGCACGTTAGGTAAGAAAGGGAATGGGCCTTGGAATTCTTGAGCCCCTGGAGGTCTGGCCAATCCCCTGGGGTCTAACAAAATCCTATGACTCACATGGTGAAATGAAAAGCATTGTTAAAAACTAAAGTAAAACCAGAGCTGCATTTTTGCCTATAAACTGATAGTGATCAGTTTGCAGCCTGGGTTTATAAGCGGGAGCCCCTAAAACTGCAATTTGAAGTCTTTCCCATGGGGTGGCCACACCACCTGGGACCCTTTCCCAACTGGGACTCCAGATTGCTGTTAACCAGGGACTTCCCAGTGCTGTTCAAGTCTGGATGTAGGTCTGCCCAGTTTGGTGATATATATGCTGTTATTTTCTCTATTGTTTCTTTTAATGACTATATTTGAAATTAAGTCAAATAAGCTATAAAAAGTTGAAATTGTGTGTAATGAGTGGTTTAACAAATCTAAAACAAAGGTAAAAATTGAACCTAAAACAAAACTAAAATTTCAGCAAAACAGGTACTTCCCTGGTGGTCCAGTGGCTAAGACTTTGTGCTCCAATGCAAGGTGCCGGGATTTCTCTCTGGTCAGGGAACTAGATCCCACATGACTCAAGTAGAGATCCCCCGTGTCACAACTAAGACCCGGCACAGCCAAACAGATAATTGAGAACTTTCAGCCAAACAGTGGGTAACAGCTGGGGCTCGGAGAGCCAGTGTGTTTAGAGGGAATCTTAGTCCAGCTGTGGAATGACCAGAGTCCCCAGCAGAGGTCAAGGCAGATGGCATTAGAATGTGTATCTTCAAAGCATGGTCCCCTGGTGAGCTGTGCCGTTGAGGACCCTGGGGCCAAGAGTAGAGGAGATGGGTAGTCTGGGTTGGGATGATTTCTCGGCCCTGGGTCCTGAAGGGGCTGGGGCCAGAAAGAACTGAGCAACGTAGCTGAGACAGACTTGAGCACTCATTTCTTTTCCAGACCCCAAAACAGGGCCCCCGGGCAGTCAGCCCAGGGCTAAGCTCCCCTGGCCACCAGGACACAGTGGCAGGTCCTGGGGGAGCAGGCGTGGAAGCACGGCTGCAGCGGAGGCAGCTCCCAGCCCTGGCTTCCAGGTGTACTTTGTGAGAAGTCACACATTAATGTCACGTGGTCAGCAGCAGGCTGGAAGGGCAGCTCTGGGCCGAGGCCAACACCATAGCTGTGTGCTCAAGTGGCACAACCACCCACCACCTGTGACCTAGGCATTAGGTGCTAATGGGCCCCATGGAACGTGCTGCAGCCAGCTCTGCTCAGAGGACCAGCGGGCAGAGGAGGCCCTCCCCCTGGGTCTCTGCTTTCCTGACTGACCAGTCTGACAGAGCTGATCTTCTGCAGGGAGGGAGCACAGCCGGCATTTCTGATTCTCAAGACACAGAGAGCCAGCTAGCCCCACGGCAACTGCTAGCCTCTGTCAGGTGGGCCTTTTGACAGCAGTGCTTTGGTTACATGACCTCCTTTCAGCATAAAAGGCCAAGTACTTTTAACTTTAAGACATCTAGAAAAGTGGTATGGAAGAACCTATTTGCAGGGTAGGAATAGAGACGCAGATGTTAAGAACAGACTTGTGGCTTCAGCAGGGGAAGAAGAGGGGCGTGAATTGGGAGAGTGGCACTGACATGTACACAATACCATGTGTGAAATAAATGGCGGGCGGAAGCTGCTGTATGCTCGGTGCTTTGTGATGACCTAGAGGGTGGGCTGGGGGAGGCAGGGAGGGAGGCTTATGAGGGAGGGAATATATATGTGTGTGTATATATATAGCTGATTCACATGGCTGTACAGCAGAAACACAACCCTGTAAAGCAATTATCCTCCAATTAAAAAAAGAAAGTAAATAAAAATTTTTGAATTTTAAGTATTTCATGATACTCTTACAAAATCAGGGTAAAAACCCACTGATGTTAAGTTTTGAAGCACACCCATGCAAGAGTCAAACCAAAAGCACACGTGACATTGTTAGATAAGAATCTCCTTAAAATTTAATTGACTAAATGTATTACATTCAATATTCCATGGGTTTCTTCTGGACAAAGGGTCTGCATAAATACAAACAAGCCTCTGGGCCTTCTTCCCTAACCGACGAAGAGGAAACACAGGAGGCGAGGGTACACGGGACACCTTCATATTTACATTTTGCCTTTACTTTACAGTTCAGTGCCAGAAATATTTACAGAAAATACAATAAGAAAAAGATCATGTCTTGGCAACATACCAAAATTCATACAAATTGTGTATATGATTTCAAGCAAATAATGATACTGTTTATTTTTAGCCACAACTGCCAAGCCCTTCAGAGGAGAAAGATGTTCTTGGTCACTGCAAGAGACAAGGACTTGGGAAACTTGGTTTGCGTCAACAAATATTTATTGGGCGCCTACTGTATGCAAGGCACTGTGGAATCCCAAATTATACCTTTCCCTCACCGTTAAAAAAAGAAAAGCATCTGAAAAAACATGAGTTGATATTCTGAGAAAAACACTATACAGTACATGGCTTCTTTTGCTACTGAGAACCCAGTTTGATTCCACGCTAAATGGGTGGATTACCTCCCATCTCTCCATGTCGGGACAAGAGGTTGTCATGGAAATCCCTAAATCAGACCATCTAACACAACTTACCGCTTTATGTAAACATGTAAACCAATTCTTTTTGGAAAAATATAACCAGAACAGGTTTTAAAATGCTGAATGAAGAACAACCAGCAGGAGTGTCAAATTACCTCTGATACATTTTTTTACTGTCCAGTGCGAAACATGTCTTTGAGCAAGGCCGACTTCCACTTTCTTTGGGTAAAGTTCTACCTTCCAATGCAAGTTAAGTACTCTTGAAGACTCTGCTTCTCTAAAAATCACTCTGCAGAACTTGACAAATGTTTCCTCAGTGTATATAGGAAGTAACCACTCATGAAGGCTTCACATGTGCAACCTGTAGGGAACTGACGTTACTGGCCCAGAGACGTATTTTGTTTTATAGAGTCCAAAGGGCTGCCTCAGGGCAGCTGAGGACGTGGAAATGCAGGACAGCGTGCATGCGTGTTGTGTATGTATTGCCAGGAAGGGAGGGGGTCAACCTACCAGTAACGATTCCTGTCAAAGGGCCAATGGATAGGAGGGGGTCTCAGGAAGAAGCACTGGACAAAGAGAGCTGGCTGAACAGGAAAACGCAAAAGCCCTCCTCAGCGTCCTTGGTGCTCTCAGGCAGACGGGGGAGAGAGCCCCTTCCCCTCAAACGTGAGAAGGGGCTACGCGGGGCTACCTGCCCCTGGCCTTGGGTAATACACTCCTCGTCACCAACGTGACACTCATCCATGACCTGGGTCACCTGTCACAGCGACCGAACTGTCCAAGCCAAAGACCCCCCAGAGGTTCTGAACCTCTGTTAGCAAACGTCAAGTAGACTATTAAAGGTTGTTCTTGGGACTAACTATGCCCCTCTGGCGTTATTCTACTCAAAGTGATTTTTACAAAGGCAGTTGAGAGAGCTCAGTGACCATGAAACTCACACCTACACTAGTGAAAGGTCCAAGCGTACTCACCACACTCCCTTTTTAGGTAGATGTGAATTTGAGCAGAAGGAGCCAGCACCTGATGAAGTGTGCGTACCCTGTATTCTGTGCTGTATATACTGGGGTTTCATGCCTCTGGGAGCAGCACAGCCCTGATTCCATCCCGTCTTCCCTGGAAGACCACAGAGTCTTCCAGATCATAACTGCACTCAACACAGTTGTTCTCTGACTTATCAAAGCCATTAGAATTACAAAGAGTTGTCAGAAATCAGAGCAAACTGAAGCATCATGAAGCCCACCACTAACACGTACACCACAGTACGATTTCCTGACAGTAGAACTACGCCAAAGGTCAAAGTGTCATCTCAAGGGTCACACTGAGGAGGCATACCTACACCAGCTATTTTTAGTTTCTGGAATGTTACAAGTTGCACATTAATTTATAGCCTTCTTTGCCCACACCTATTAGAAAGAAGGGCCCATTTTCCCCCCAAGAAATGTCAATCTGGAATTTCCATGAAAGTTGTTAAACCTCACTCTATAGCTTAGTAGCTGGGCAACTAATTTAAGAGTAAAACTTACTAATCATACATCCCCCTCCCCCACTGCTACCATCGAGGAACATCAATTTATTATTATTATTTGGGGGAACATCAGTTTATTGCCCAGATTAAAAAGAAAATCAAATGTTATACCCTGAATGGAAACTGGAGTCATAGAAGGAGGTTACCTTTACCTGAGCTTAAAACAAACAGGAAGAAAAAAGGTGAGGCAAACTTGGAGAGCTGCTATGCCCACATTTCTTGCTCCTAGATATCAATATATACTTCTGGAATAGAAATATCTGCACTGGGAGTTAGGTCCTACACTATCCCCTGTCCTCTAAGTAAACTACCAAAACATCAAACCAAACAGCTCACTGTAGTCCTGACCTACAGAATCTACTGACATCAGAGTTCAAATAGGAAATCACCCCTTACACAATTGTGATCATTCCTCTTTGGACTTTTAAATGTCACTTATCTTCTTAGCACAAAATAACCTTAATAAAAAAGAAAATAACATAAATATTCTTATGTTATTCTTAATAAACATAAGAATAGGAGAAATGAGCAGTGTACACCCTAGCACTGTAACAGGAATCCTTGTAAGGGTGTTCTGGGTCTGGCCACCTCAGAACATTTATCCTTGGCAGGAAAGTAGCAGCGAGGTAACAGAAGTATTTAAAAAACCTGGGCAAGGATCTGCCACGCCTTCAGCTGGCGAAGTCCAGAAAATATGACAATAGCTGTTTCTAAAAGCAGCCACCCCAGGAGGTGGTCTCTAATGTTTGTCAATTATGATGAAATCCAGCAGCTCTCTAGAGAGATCTGAATTAGGAGCATGGAGAGGCTATTTCCTGAACCCCAAATTAGAATCCTTCATAAACTACTGCAGTTTCCTGCTTGGTCCTGAAATAAGAGACAAGGGTTGAAACCAAAAAATGTTTAAACCTGTGCCATGAATTTATATTTCTTACTATTTAACCAAGAAATTACCAAGGAATTACAAACGGTTAACCTGTTGTTTTGTCTCTGAGCTAGACAATAATGAAGAGGGGGGAGGTGTCACTTCTGACTTTTAACTCCACAAACTCCATCTGTATCCCTGTTAAAGGACCAGGCCGTGCCTCCATTTCAGATCCGTTCCTGGACTGCCCAGAAACTGAGGCCTTCAGACAGACCTTTGCAGTGATGAGAATAACTTTTTGAAATCTAGAAACTATGAAATATTTTAATATTAGACTGAGCAAAAAACACTTCTGTTCCTTTCTGTCAGTACGATTGTTGGATGACAGATGGATGACAAATGGACCTACGAGTGAGCAGAAAGTTGAGATCTCCTTCCTTCTCCTCCATGCTAGCAACATGAGTCTTTAAGTGTCCTGGACGATTCTGAGACAGATTTTAATTTTGAACACAACCTCCTAAAAAGTGAGGTATAAAACTATCTTCAACTTCTAATTTGCAAATTTGAAACTACCAATGCACATGTTTAACTGAGATGCAAAAAAGCCTTTCTCCTCAAAAGGCTTGTAATTTAACTAAAATTGTCACTTTTGAAAGAAAAGTTTATGGCTAAAATGTGTATCATCATTACCAGCAGGAATATGATTGTGTCTGGGAGCCCATTTCACTAAAAAGCCAAAAAGTCTTCTCTCAAATGGGTTTATAATGTGTCTCTTCTATTCCGGTGATTATACAGTAAGCTCTTGGGGAGTGATTTATTTTTACAGTGATCACCTATCAAATTGCTTTGCTTTGATATTATAGCCCCAAACTAGAGTTCAATAGTCCTAGACAGATAGTGGTCTAAGAACTGCAGTTCTTGAGTCCAACCTCCTGAAAAAGTGAAGTGTAAAACTCTGGCTCCAACTGTTTATTCCGGTACTTGTTGACAATGTCGGTGATCTTCTGTTTCCGGCGGACATGTGGTGGGCTGTAGGAGTCACTCTCCAGTCTCTTTCTTCTACAAATGTTAATTACAGTCTGCCTCACCAGAAAACCTTGAAAACAGAAGGTTTTCATTCAAATCAACGTGAATAAATAGGTAGGTAGGTGAACTATAAGTATTCAAGCAAACTATTTTCGGCAAACTATCTTATTCCATTTACACAACTCCTCACAGAGACAGATAAAACTGTCAGAAGAAACACAATGATGAGGAAAAACAGAATCAAACTCTAGCCTGACAACCCATTTCCTGCCCTGGATTACAAACAGACTATATTCATTTTCCAATACTGGAAGTCTGTGAATTATAGTTCTGCTCGTACTTACTAGATTGAAGCACACTTCAAAACAGAACAAAATATGCTTCCTCTTATAAATAAAAGCCATAGTATTTTCTATATGTGGGACCTATTAAGTAATATCACCATTTCCTATTTCTACTTCTTTCTGGTTCATAAAAATGTTAAATAAAAAGAAAAGAAAGAAAGAAACTTCAATCCTTCAGCTACATATGAGGCTTACCGAGCGCTCGCCTACTGACAATCATCCCGTCCACAAGAGGGATGACCATGTTAAATTTTCCAGTGGCTCCTTGAATTTTTATCCGGAATAATCCAGTGTTTAAAGGGTGGATGAAGATGACAGGAACTTCTTTTTCAAGAGCAGTAGATCTTAAGAAAAGAAAAGAACACTCCTTTCACTCCAGATATTCAAGAGCTGTAGTCCCCCATGTGTGATATAAGAATACCAAGGGAACTACTGCCAGGCAGTGTTTAGATGAGCCAAGTGATTAGTCTGCTCAGAAATCTTCTTTCTGGGAGGCCATGTGGAAGCCCCCGCACCAACATCTGGCCCTACATGCCCATCACTCGGGTTAGCCTTTTGAAGCTGACAAAAACAAGGGCCTAAAATTGTGCTTAGAAAACCACTGGGGATGCCGGGTGGAAGCAAAGGCCAGAAAAAACACATCGTGCGGAATAATCAATCTAGCAGCCAGCTGTGGGACTTTCACTCAGGTCCTCCTTCTTGTAGGGAACAAATATGGAGCTGGCCAGAGGCAGGGAATTCTACCATGTTCCAAGACTAGCACCTCAGAGCAAGTGGGAATGTAGCTTAGGCCTACTAAGGGAATCCCTGACATAATTTTTTAGGGGCTGGGGAAGGAGGCTGGGAGCACCTTAGTCTGGGGCAGTTGCAGGTGCCCTCCTCAGCAGAGGTGAAAAATGGCTGAATTTTGACACAGCCAAACCTCAAAGCCTCTGAACAGGCAACAGGTGCCAAGGCAAGCAACCACACCCATAGGAGACTGAATGACATGTGTGTTGGGGATATGCCAGTGCATCTAGACATACCCATGTAACTCTCTGATGCTATTTGTCAGGGTTTTGGTTTGTTTTTGTTTTGTAACACAATGAGCCTTCTTTCTAAAGTGATTTTGGCCAAAGCAACAGAGTCCATTTTTCAAGACATCTAATAAAAATCAATCCTATACTAATTCTGTCCCCAAGACAAATTCTAAACTTTGCTAAACTACTAGTAAAATACAAATTTTACAGTCCAAACATATTATAGCACTTTTGAACTAAAAAGTAAAACAACAACAAAAAACAGCACAAGACACTTAAAAGTTCTCTTCTAAACTAGTTCAAGTAAAGTTTACCTCATGAAATCTATTCTGGTCTCTTTAGCAAGTCAGTGTCAAAAAAGAAAGCTAAAAAGGAGTTAGAAAAACAGGACTGTTCTGTATTAAAAGAGACCTGAAGGAATGAGTACCGGATACAAGGCTGAAATGGGTGCTGGTTTAAACAAACCAGCTGCAAAGACTATTTTAGGGGAAATGGAGAAATCTGAATATGAACTGGCTACCAAATGAAATTAAGGAACTATGATTAACTTTATGACTCTGATAGTTATCTTTATATATTTGAATAGTTAATTTTTCAGAGGTGTATACTGATGTATTAAGAATGTTAGAAAATTTGTAGTTTGCATTAAGATACTTTGGCATAAGAAACAGAAATTTTAGGAATGATTTGCCCTATTCGAGAAATTTAACATGATAATGTTAAAATAAATCATCTTTCTAACGTTAGACTAAATTCATTTTATATGCAATATAAACCAGAACGTGGAAAATAGAAGGAATTTACTCAAAGCTAAAATATCAAGTTAAGCTTGATATAAATTATTTGTTTAAACAAAAGACAAGACAAGCAAAAAGCTTTGAGATGATAAAGCCTGCACAGACACATTTTTACTATTCTGTTTTTAACCCATTTTTGTGCATGAGCAGCTAAAGTAAAAATCTTAATATTATAATAAAGTTAGTATCCTGTTTTATTTAGAAATATTTTTCCATTAAATAGCTCATGTGATGAGGATACTTTAACTGCTATCTATCCAGAATGTTTTGACCAATGTAACTCCATTATTTCCATCTAATACTGCTACTCTATTATCACTCTTCATTAATACTTGTCTCCACTTTTTCATCTTTCTGCCTCAGATAAATGCAAAACAGCAATTAATTATGCCATTTAAAAATTCCTGCTAATTTGATCACCTTGTGCATTTATCTACAGACTTTTTTGATTCTTTCCCCATAATTATGTTTACTTCTTATTGCCTTCATCCCTTTTGTTTCATTAAAGTCATTATTTCTTAATTAAATTACAATCACCATATTATAAAAAATAGCTTTCTCTATGCTTAAAGTCAATATTGATAAACTTCAAGCAAGTAAGGGAGTACCTCAGAGAAGTGCTACTATTTGCAGTAGTTTCCACACCAGTACTGATTTCTGTCATCAGGTCTGAGAGGGGAAAGTTTTCTGGAAGAAAATCATGGCATTACATTTAATATCTCCCTTCAAGAAAACTGAATTTCCTAAACTCTTTACATAGCAGACAACAAATATATGGACTTTGTTCTCCTAAAACATATAGTCCTAAATATTCCTCACAAATTTAAAAAAAAACCTCAAGGCGTATTTTAGAAAAGTTCATCTAAAGCAGAGAGTTTTTAAAGAATGTAATCTATAGTCCTGGAAGGCTTGGAAAGAGCTTTAGAAGTGTTAGAAAGCAACCATTATACTTTCCCATGAACTCTGAGCGGAATGAGATTCTAGGGTAAATACACATTTCTAACGTTCTTATGCAGCTCACATAAAAATCATGAGAAACATATTCACAGTGGAACCCCTAAGGACCAATTAATCTGAAACAAGACTGTGGAAAGAGGGTTAGGAAGGTGAACTCCCTTCCCCTTTCCAGAGGTCCTGGGGTGACTGGGAGCCACATGAAGTGGGAGCAAGTGGCCAAAAACCAGTATCTGCCATACCAAGAAGACCTAAAGGCTTTGTATCCATCAAATCTTCACGGCTGTGAAATAAGTGCCGGGTCATTCATTTAACACATTAGTCACCTAAGGCGTAATGAAACCCAGGCCTCCTGAACTCCAGTCCCAGCTCTTGGCCACCATATAGGGCCTATGTTGCCACTCCTTTTAGACATTCAGCAAGTCACTGTCATCCGACCAAAATCTTGTTTATGGACAAAGTCCTTGCACAATACCTATATCATCATAGCGTTCCACCCAGACTACAGAAACTCTTGTCTCGGGTCCGAGGGGAGGCACGGGGCGACCCTGCGGCAGCTTCTTCGTTCTGGAACTGGGACTGAGCTGTACGAGGCAGGAAAAAGCAGAAGAGGGTGGGAAAAAACTGGCTTAATAAAACTACAATCATACATTCATCAAGCTACCCAGTAACGTAAGGATAAGATCATGGGAAGTCACTTCTGGAAAAAAGTATAAAATACATTTGCAAAAAAGCCCTTCTTTGGTTTCTCTGTTTATCAAGTCTCAAACTAGAACAAGGCAATGAAAGTCTAAAATATTCAAATAAAAAAAAGGTAAGCAATACTGAACAATTATAACTGACATTAATAAAAACAAAATTTGCATGCTATGTCTTAATGAGGACTTAAGAGGATCTGAGTCTATCTCTGTGACCAGAAGGCAGTATGTTTTTTCCATCAGAGTAACATCATTGCTCCGCCTGGGGATCTTTTCAGTGTTGAATTCTTGTCAACTGCTTTTCCTGTATCTACTGAGATAACGATACGAATTTTTTTTCCCCTTAGTTTGAGTAGTCTGCAAAGTATGTGGTAAATAAAAACATGGGGCTTTACCGATCTTGCTCTTCTCCAAACTGTATTCTGTGAAATCTTTTTTAAATGTAACAACTTATGATTTTCAAAATCAGTCTACTTCAGAATTTTATACAAACTAACTTTTTTTCTTAAATCAATTTTAAAGGTGAAACCCTTCCCATATTCTTTTAAGCAAATACTTATATTAAAAATAATTTTAAGTGTAGAGAGGTCCAAATTAAAATTCTTTACAATGGAAGAAGGGCTTCAGACAAGTTTGCACAACACTTCTTTGGTCTTTATTATTTATTCTATATCAACTGTCTTACATCTCTAAACTGATCCTATACTCTTCCTATACTACTTGGGTCAATTTCCAGTAAGGATTAGGAGATAACAGGAGGGGAGAACACAGACAAAGATGTAACATCCACTGATAAGGTAAGGAAAAAGTGTAAAACCAAAATGCTCTCTTCTTGTGGTAGCTGCTGCATCACCTCACTCGGTGCATTTATTCACACACTGGATTACTCTTCAAAATGCCATCATGTGTGCTGTCAGACTGAAGATGAATTTTGCATGAGTAATGCTATAAAGTATATACTATTGTACATGTACTGGATATTTCAGGGACCAAATAATAACCTACACTTGAGAAAGAACGGGTGAAAGACCAAGCATGGGACCGAAATGACTAAACAGAGAAAAACAACAAAGATGGAATCAGAGTGAATCATCTGTTGCAAGCTGAAAAGAAGAAAATCATGAAAATTTGATTAAAAAAAATTAAGATCCTAATGAATTAGTACAGATATAATTATTCTCTGGGTTAAAGTTAAAAGCTTTTCAGGTGTGATTCTATAATTACCTAATTACCTTCATTTCACTACAAATTTCTGGAGATTAATCAACAAAGTGACTTACCCTCTGTGAGGAATTAAGATTGTCTGTGTGATTAGGGAAAAGCTCAAGTGTCAGGGATGGTTGTTTCAGAATTCCTGGCATAAGATCCATATTTGAATCACTATCTTGGTCTGAGATGTTACTTTCCAGTGAATCAGCTATAGGGTGAAGAAAAATATATATAAATAAAACACCTACTACTTCGTTAGAGCAAATGTGTTTATTAAACTAACTATGTTAACAGTACAACTTAAATTACTTAAGCAAAGCACTGCTTATGGAGCAAGGGTTGGCAAACCTTTTCTGTAAAGGATCAGGTAATAAATATTTTAGGCTTTGCTAGCTATATAGGTCTTTACTGCATATTCTTCTTTATTTTATTTACAACCCTTTACAAATGCAAAAAACATTCTCAGTGTTTTAAATTTGGCCTGTGTGCCATAATTTGCTGGCTCCAGCTCTACTGAATTGGTGCAAATAAGCTGGGCCAGAGACACCAGGGCCAGAATCAGTCCATAGAGGACGGTTGGGGCCTGGCTTCTGGAATTAAGGCAGGAGATCACAGCCTTTGACATGAAGGCAAACAGCTGCTCAGACATTGGCCTAGACCATGGAAGGACCCTCCTTCCAGGGACACAACTGGCTCCAGAGAAGAGAAAGGGAGGAACCTCTAGTGCAAAATCAAGGGTCCAAGTACAAAGGTTAAGAAGCAGCCAAAGCAGGGTACAGGAAAAGTCATTAGCCTAGAAATGAGAAATGTGAAAGCATGATGTGCAGCATCCCATCCTATGGACGGTCTCATGGAGAAGGTGAAGCTTTCCATCTCCTGTCTGGTCAGGCACAAAGTAATGTACTTAATTTGCAAGAAGCAAAGGTTCAAGGCAAAATAAGACTAAGAATTGAGACTGAGAAGTAATGATCACTCCTGATCCTTGAGAAGAACACACTTGATGGCCACCTTTTCTAGGTTGGAATTTCTCCACCTCGGTGTTAGAAGACTAGGCAATTACCACCATGAGAGTCTCCAACTGCAGGATTCTCTGGGGTTCGACACAAAGGCTCTCACATGGAAACAGGGAAGCAGGTGGGGGTTCACTTATTAGAAAAATGAAAAACAGGGCTTCTAGGTATTAGTTAAACTAATCAAATTTGATGTTGTTTAGTTGCTAAGTCATGTCCAACTCTTTTGAGACCCCATTAGCCCGCCAGGCTCCTCTGTCCACGGGATTTTCCAGGCAAGGATTCTGGAGTGGGTAGCCATTTCCTTCTCCAGGGGATCTTCCCAGCTCAAGGATCGAAACTGCATCTCCTGCATTGGGAGGTAAATTCTTTACCACTGAGCCACCTGGGAAGTCCAATTAATCAGATTAAAGAAAGTTAAAAAAATGGGTCAAAGTGGATCTCCTTTGCTATTTAAAAATTATTATTAGAGGATCAGTCTTCCAGTCTTTTCCTACCTTCCTTTAGTTAAAAGGAGCTAACACCCCATACCTCTACATAATCTAAAAGCTATCATGTCTTTGAAGCTTAAGAATGTCTTAGATGACTTCAGAATCTCTCCCAGTACAATAATACTACACAAACCAGTGAATACAAAAATTGTTCCATACAAAAAAAACCCCAGTACCGTAAAAAAAAATTCTCTTACTTAAGGACTCCACAGGAGAAGGAACCACAAAAGCTATTTCTGTAAGGGCATCGGCATAATACAGCACCTTCTTCTGTCCGTTGAAAATGCTAGCCCCAACATCTTCAGAGGAAATCACTTCATCTACAAATGAGAAACACTACATTACTGCTCTAAAAAGTGGGGAAAACCAGTATCACCCTGCTACATGAAATTTTAACTGGTTAAAAAAAAGTAATAATAAATTGAAGGTACATTTCCAACATGAACTAATGTGTAAGAAGAATAAACTATGAATGTTCATTAAATGGCTTAACACTAACTTTAAACAATAAAATCTTAATTTCATGGTTTCTGAAACTAAATCAGATCACTCCTGATTAGCAGGACCTTAGTTCATGTGTATCAGGGAATAGTCTTTTTGGAAGAGGTAACAGTAATTAAAAGAGAGACCACCCAGTCCCTCTGAAGGGAGGTGGGGCAGACGTCTGAGTGTGTGTACGCTTGGTCACGGGCATTTCCATCCCTGGTCACTCTACTGCTTCTCAGCTTTGCTTCTGTGCCATTTTCTCCAGTGATCAGTGATATAATATATGTACAGGCAACTTTAATCATAGTATCTTCTCTAAGTCAGCAAGATAGAATTAACCAAAATAACACTCTCGAGAGCTGGTACAGTTCTCCATTAAAGTGAACACAATGCCCTACAAGTAATATATAAAAGACCAACAACCTGACAAAAAATTGGGAAGAGGAAATGAACAAGTAGTTCTTGGCTAAGAAATAAAAATATGAGAAGATGCTGAAACTCAATCATAATTAAAAATAGAAAGCTCCTCACCTAACAGACCAGAAGACACCTAATTTGGTGAGGAGGTGGCAAACGAAGCTTAGACCAGAATCTAGCAAACTTTTTCTGCAAAGGATCAGATAGTAAATGAAGCTTTGCATGTCATATGGTCTCTGCCATGACTACTTAAGTCTGCCGTTGTAGTGTGAAAGCAGTCAGATAATGCATGAACAAGGCTGAGTGCCAACAAACTACTGACAAAGACAGGCATGGGCTGTAGGTGCTGGCTCCTGGTTTAGATGTTGGGCAGGCGTTGTGTCTACCACAGCAGACACTGTTGTTACTGCCCCAACACTCATTCTACCCGCCTCCTCGTTCACATCTCTCTATCAGGGTCATTCCACCTCTCTTGCCACAGAGGTAGTCTAATGGTGGCTCATGGTGGTCTAATCACTGTGTATCTATGGCCTGAGGAGAAGGGAGGTTCTGAGACCCAGCTAACCTTTCCTCTTTAGACTAGTGTGGTATGTGAATGGCTTTAGCCTGGAATGGCCTTTTTGTACTGTGAGGAAAGCCAGGATGGGACAAAGCCAACACATGGAAAACAGAGCTAAAAGAAAACTACAGAAAAATAGAATAGAAGTGCTGATCAAATGGCAACAAAACTGTACACTAATCTCTGGAATTTTCAGTTATATGAGGCAATAAATGACCTTCAAAATCTAGCCCAGTTTAGGTCAGGTTTTCTGTTACTTGCAATCTTAAGCATTCAAGTGATACATTTATACATTTATCAACTTGAAAAATGTGCAAATCTTTTATCAATTCTACTTGTAGGAATTTAGTTGATAAATACACTTAAGCATAACTATTAAAGGTTATGTGGCAATTGAAATTAGAGCATATTCTCATATACTTTCATTCAACCTTGGTTGAAAGCAGGAGAAAACTATGTCACAAGTCACAATGATATTCAATGGGAAACTTAAGAGCATAATCTTGCTGACAGAGGAACTCTGCTAATTCAAAGCACTAGACACAGTCATTCCCCACTTTGGAGAAGTATTATTAACTTTCCAGTGATTTCAAGGGCCCTTGGAACAGAAAGCTCCAGCCAGGTAGGGCAAAGGCCTTAAGTTTAAACTTCCAGTTGTTTTCGTACTTGCTATCCTAATTACAGTTCCTCAGGAGGATTTGCATCGATGTGTATGAGTCTCTCAGTCAGCTGTTTACTACAAAGGTTTTTTATATAATGTCCTAACAGTGTAATCTTAAATGATAGCCACAAAGTCTAAAAAACATACCTGCTAGTAGAAAAACTGTATTTATTAGACAAAGTATACTTGTTAGGAAACTACTGTTTGCTATAATCTAAATTTATTATAATATTGTTATAGAAAATGGAATTTATTCACTTCCACTATAAAACACTTACCAACCTTGTGATAATTAAGCCATTAATTTTATATTAGTTGTCATAATGTATGTATATAACATACATGCTTATATATGTACATACATAATTATTCCTCATATTAACAGAAAATGTTTGGAAGATGATACAATTATTAAGTGATCTCCTGTGAGGATGAGAGGAAAGAGACTTCTCCATTCCATACCTCTGCTTGTTTTTTTTCTTTCATAAGACTACAAATTCATATTAAAGGGGAAAAGTCAAGAGTAACAAAATAAGAAAAAAAAATGACCATATGAGATTTACCTTGTTCAGGTCCTTCACCATCATCGCCACTGTTAATAGACCAACTGGTGGAAACATGCCCAGTCCAGCCAGGGTGTTTGCCCACATCTACTGACCAGCCAAGGGAGAGCAAAAATTCTAGGAAATGTGGCTGAACATTTCTGGAAGACTCCACATTCTTTAAAATCTGAAATACATTCCAATCATTAACTATAATGAAGGAAACAAAAGAGCATATCAAAGTATCTTCATAAAAATTCTCTTTGAAGTGTCTGACAAATCAAGTCCAAGCTGAGAATAAACTGAGGACTATACATATGACTGCAGTTAAATATGCATGCTTCTGGGTTATATAGATCTGGGTTCAAATCCTGGCTGGGCTTTGGGCAAGTTTCTTAACCCCACTGTTTAAGTTTCTTCATCTATAAAGTGAATAATAATGATGGCTATGAAGATTAAGTGAGATAAAGCTAGAAAATCCTTTAACTCTCTCCCTAGCAAAATAACTATTGAGCCAGACATGTTTACTCAAAGTAAAAAAAAATACTCGGTCACTGCCTTCACATAGGTATGTGATTATTTACCTACAACTCTTGACAAATGCTATAAAAAGCACAAACCTATTAAAAATTCAATAATGACTAGCTATAATTAATAAATGAGTTGGAAAACATTCTTCTCTGGGTTCAAAGAAGAGAATACAACCATCCCAGATAACAATGAAGGCTCTCTCCTCTTCACCAGGTACCAAATTTAATTCCTGGGCCCCAGAAAGAAGAGTTCCTTGTTCTAAAACAGCGGTTCTCATGAGGTGGATTTTGCTCTCCAGGGGACATCTGGCTATGTCTGGAGACATTTTTGACATCACAACTGATGGGGCACTGCTGGGATCTAGTGAGCAGAGGCCAAAGATGCTGCTACATGTCCTATTTTTATAGAACAGCTCCCACAACAAGAATTATTTGGCTCAAAACAGCAACAGTGCTGCTGTTCAAAGTCCAATGCTAGAAGAAGGAAAATGAGAAATCCTCTACAAATTAAAAACGAAATGGGGAGGAAGGTAGTGTATCAAAATCATCCGGGGAGTTTCTTAAACATGAGACTTTCTTAGCCTACTCCAGAACCTCTGTATCAGATCAGCAGAGATAAGATCCTGGAATTACTACTTTCAAGAGGTCTCCCAAGTAACTTTTAATGTAGCCAGCCCACAGATCACTGATGTAGTTCGTACAATGCTAACCTGACAAAGTCAAAATACGGGGTTACATCAAACACTTCTCAATCTAGTGGGCATCACTGCCAGGCCTCATCTCTTAAACACTTCTCTTCAGAAGTGTACCTATTTAGTTTCCCATATCCCTTCAGAGTCTTATAAGTGACAGGAAACTGACAGCCAGTTTTTGTTTTCTCCCAATTAATTTTTATTCAGAGGTGAGACTTTTAAACAATTTCAAAATGTAGCCAAGATACAATAAGTAAGTTAAATTCAACTAGCAGGCCGCTGACTGACAGCTAGAAATTCATCTAAATCTTCCCTGTGGGGCTAGGGAAGGCAGGACTCAGCCATTCTAAAGGAGGTCTCTGGGAATCTAATTGTTTTCTAGTCACCCTTGGTCCCTAAAAAGCTAAGGAAACTCAACTGGTGTAAGAATTACCTGAAGGGTTTGTGTCTTCTTCCATATGTAGGAAGAAAATGGCCCCACTACTCTCATATGAACCATGCATTAGACTTCCTTCAAAACAGATCCCCACCCTCTGCATTTAATCCACTTCTACTGAGGATCTTTCAAAAAACTTGAGTCTATAAGTCTCATCTCTGGCTACCAGTAGCCTCCCAAGCTCCAAACAAATTGGAACCAATAATGAATTTTATGAAAATGAAATTCTCTCTCACCTCCAGGGCCTTTACACATGCTGTTTCTTGATTAGTGACAACCCACTTCTACCTTTTAACCTACTGTCAATGTATACCTCATACCATTAGCTTAAAAGTCTTTTCTTCCAGGAAGTCTTCTTCTAACCAGGTTAGGTTTTCATGTTACAGCTCCTGTAACATGTTCCTATCAGCACACTTTATCACGGTTGTGTGTTTAATCATCTGTCTTTCCCTCTACACAGTAGTTCCATTAGTCCAGAAACCTTGTAGATCTTGTTCACCACTAGAACCCAAGCACCTGACAGCAGATACTTAGTAAGTATTTACTGAATCACTAACATGAAATGAGAAGACTCTTCTCCTTTTCTAGTAGTTTGCCGATAATCTGAAATATGCTTCTAGTATAAACATTTTGTAATTCTGGTAAATTTCTTCAAGTGTATTTAATCTGATTGGCTAATGGTCTTACAATGATTATAGTGAAAGTCCAAGATAATACAGTCATAGTGCTCTATACATGTGAATACATTCTATTTATTACACATCTATCTTCCTTTGCAACTCTCTTAGTCACAGTTGGTAACTACCTGTCCAATCCATGTTTCAACCATTTATCTCTGTAGACACTTGATCTCCTGACATTTGCTCTCAGTTTTCTGTTCTCACCTATCTTATATTTGTCTTCATCCTTCTCCTAGTCTCTTTGTTACATGTATCCAACTGTGTTTTACTTATTTTGTTTTTATCCTTTACTTTATTTCAGATGTTCTTCTCCTACTGTGCATACCTTGACTAAAATTATTTCCTCGTGAAATTACCTGGAAGTGAGTTCCTCAAGAGGAAAGGGTATTATCACTTCTACACTTGGGCACATTGAGGGAGCCACAGGGAAGATGGTCAGTAAACAGTTGTTGCTGGGCAGTAAGGCCCTACTTTAGCTTTTCATGGTTAACTTGTGTCTTAGGAATCTGAACTCCTTAAGGTAAGAAAGACATGCTCTAGCTCTTCTCTACATCACATTCACTGACAGTCAAAAGACTCAAGACTCTAGGCATCATAGTTTTCATTTAACTCAGTTTCTGAACTGATTACAAGAAATCTTTAAGGATCAAGAATTACTCACCTTCCACCATAGAGAAGTGCAAGTCATGTAAATTTCTTTCAATTTACAGCATAAAAAAATTACCCCCCAAATCCAGAAATCTTACCTCCTGGTTTGTTTTCTGACCTGGTTTCATATAGAAAATAAAAACTGTGTCAAAGGGACGACATGGCAAGAGATCCAGATACCCAATGTCATCAAAAAATCCAGGTATCGTGGAGTCAAGTGCAATAAGGTGAGGAGGTAGACGACTGTTTGCAGGTTCCTACCGCCAAAGGAAGAAAGGAGAAGGTATCATCTCTTTGCACTATCCGAGTTATAAAAGCAATACTTACTCATGGTTTAATAAACATTAAGCAAAAAAAAAAAAATTAAAAAGTGACAGGAATAAGCAGAACCATAATCCCAAACTACAGAAACTTTTAACATTCTTGTGTACTTCCTTCCAGTTCTTTTGCCTTTTTTTGTTAAAGACGGTTGAGATCATAATATGTATTTAATTTAAAATCCAATCTCTCTGTAATACACCAAACTTTCTAGAAAAAATTTAGTATGTATTTTACTCTTATTCATTGCTGGTGGAAATGGAAAATGGTACAGCCATGCTGGAAGACAGTTTGGCAGCTTCTTGCAAAGCTAAGCATAATCGTACTATATAGGGCAGCAACCGCATAACTTGATATTTTCCCATATGAATTAAAAACGTCTACTCAAAAACCTGCACACAAATGTTTGTAACAGCTTCATTCGTAATTGCCAAAACTTGGAAGCAGCCAAGGAGTCTTTCTGTAGGTGAAAGGATAAGTAAACTGTGATAAATCCACACAATGGAATGTTATTCAATTATAATAAGAAGTGAGCTATCGAGTCACAGAAAGACATGGAGGAACCTGAATGCAAACTGCTAAGTGAAAGCCAATCTGAAGAGACTACATACTATATGATTCCAACTATACGACATTTTGGAAAAGGCAAAACTGTGAGACAGCAAAAGATCAGTAGTTGTCAGGAGTTGGGGGAATTTCCAGAGAAGTGGAGGGATGACTACGAAGACTACAGTGGACTTTAGGGCAGTGAAACTCTTCTCTACAGTGCTATAATGGTGGACATATGTGATTTCATATTTGCCAAAACCCACAGAACTGTACAACACAGAGGGAGCGCTAATGTAAACAATGGAGTTCAGTTAATAATCCATCTGATACTGGTTCGTCAATTGTTACATATTATGTCACAACAATGCAAGATGTTAGGAGAAACTATGTGTGTGGAGGAAGAGAGGTTATATGCAAACTCTCTATACTTTCTACTCAGATGTTCTGCAAACCTAACTGCTTTAAAAAATAGTCTATTAATCTTTATGCATTTCTTGTTTTGTCCCCCACCCCCCATCCCTTATCTTCTTTGAGATCTTGATCTTGACCAGCAGGTTGTGTCATCCATGATATTTTTCAGGAAAACATCCCTCAGAGACAGCAAGGATTGCTCTTTTCCTACTCCAAACAAGGGCTGAGGCAACACCCTGTCATTAAAGACACTGCTATTTCTGCAGTCAAACAGAAGAGTATTCACACTATGAAAAAAGACTACAGATAGCCTCGTCTCAATTCAGGTCAGATTTTTCCACTAAATGAATTTTCTACAAACATACAAAAAACGTTCTGCTTTTCATTTTTCACTTTGAAATCATGGAGAAGGAACCGCAGTCTGGCAGTGTGCTACAACACATCTTATAGGACAAGGGCTCCTCATTCTTTTTTTTTTTAAAAAGCTACCTCATCAGCTTGTTCTTCTGGATGATCTTCTAATTCAGGAACATAACATGCACGTACTTGATATCTCTTAATAACTTCTTAAAGTTTTTTCCTCTAGGTCTGTGTTTTTCCTAATAAAGTTTGTTAGGATAACTTCTGTCAGTAACACAGTTGCAACAGAGTTCTTTTGCACTGTATTTCCAACTGATATTAACAGCTACAGTCATTAATATTTGCACTTCAAATGTGGTGATCTTAACTTTCATTTACTTTAGACACTCTACTGATTCTCTTTCTTGTCATTCAGTAGCTCAGTCGTGTCTGACTCTTTGTGACCCCATGGACTGCAGCATGCCAGGCTTCCCTGTCCTTCACTATCTCGCAGAGTTTGTTCAAACTCATGCCCACTGAGTCGATGACGCCATGGCTGTCTAATTAGAAATCATATTATCTGGGAATTGTCTTTTCCTTTCCAATGGTTTTTTCCCTTATTTAGTTTCTTTTAGCATGTCATCGACATCGACCTTTCTATTCTATTATAGTCAGGTAAGATGTTACTCACTGGGGGAATCTCCCTACACATTTTTTTTTTTTTTAACACTTCCTCATTCTCCATCTTGTTTCCTAAATGGGCTGCCATTTACACAGTTCTGCATTACTGGCCCTGGTGAAGATTTTGGCTGTTTATTCATTTTAAAAAATAAGACTAAATATTGTTTTGCTGAATATTGACTGCTTTATTGACTGATCTGCTAACAGAATCAAATTATTTTCTTAATAACTTTACTAATATTTACCAATAACTGACTCTCCTTGCGTTCCTAGGATAAACTTTTTGTGGTTGTAGAAGTTAATTTAACGTGCTGCTGAATTCAGTTTTATTAGTATTTTCCTTAGTACTTTTGTACATACTTTAGCATGCGTGTTCTGTCAAGTTTAAGTTATTAGAGAAAAATAAGATTCATAAAATAAATCAGGCTACTTTCTGACTTTTTCCTATGTTCTGACCCAGGTGAGAAAGTACAGGAATTATTTTCTTGAAAGATTAAACATTTCAACTACAGTAGATAACATGAAAGGAAAACTGCAATCTCAGAGATTTGTCTTGTCTCCATTCAGTCCATAGCACGCAATCATATCCTTCTAGAATATTTTTATTTACTGCTTCCACTCTGTCCAATTTTTTCCACTAGGAATATCACTAATCATCTGTAAGGTTGTATCTTTGCTCCTTTCCTTCCACATTTACCCCTGCATTTCTCATTATTTTCCTCTTTCTGTTCTTTTCTTCTGCATTTTAAGAGTTTTTATTTTTTACTCTCCACCACTTATTCGATTTTCTACAACATAAAATATTTTTCATCTACATGCTGAAATCCAAACTCAAGACAGCAATGTTCCCCTCTACGTTTCTTAAAAGTTAAATGGTCTTCAGCCAAGTAGCTGCTAGAGAGTAGGGCAGGGGGCAACTTGTGCAATAAGTGACTTCTTGCCTGGCAATCTTCAGTTGGGTTTTTCAAAACAAACAGGCCTTAGTATAAATTCTAAATTCACATACATGGAAGCTATTTCACATTTTTGAGGCCCTGTTTCTACATCTGTGAAATAGAGATACCACCACTTTCCTGGTAAAACTGTTTTAGTGAAATTATGAACAATGGCAACATTTACCTTACAGGTTGCCTGACTGCTCTGTGTACTACATGAAACCCCTGGCATGACCACAGTGATATGACACCTTTATCACCCCTATTTCAGACATGAGGAGTTAAGACTCGGACGTTGGGTAACTTTCCCAAGATCACACAGCTGGTAAATAGTGACGCCAGGACATAAACCAAGACGGTCTGACCCTAGAAACTGCACAACCTAATAAGTGTTTATACTCATTCCTTTTCAAAAGTGGCATGAAAGAGCAGAGTCAACTGTAGCCCATACTTTTACTCATAAGTTTACTGGGGGAAACTTTTAACATTCTTTTTCTAACTGCTTACAGATGTCATTAATATATATAACATGAGTCCTACAGAACCTAGGAAAAGTCAGAGGTGGATACATTATCAAAGCAGCTCTCACAACAGAACTCTGAATACACTCATAGGAAAACTGTCTTGGAGCTCATATTGTAAGGTGCAGCATCACAGAATTTTATTTCCTTGTATGAAAGGTAAAATTTTAAATTGTTTGGTTTTTTTAATTCTCCATCTTCACAAAAATGCTTTAGCTATCATCAGTTGAGTGTTAATTTATGAATATATTTACTCAGAGAAGTTTATGAAAATTACCTTCAATGCTTCTAAAGACAAAAATCCGAAGTGTGAAAGGAAAAGACGTGCTGTTTGGAATTCCTGGGCAGGAGGTGGGGGCTTACAATCTGTAACTGGATCAGGAAAACTTCTCTTCTGCAATTCCTCCTCACTTTGTTGCTCAAGGTGTATTTCATAAGCGATCTGCTGGGCCATGCCATTCCTTAATTTTTCATGTCTCTCTTCTAACTGAAATAAACCGAACATTTCATTTTGGGGGAATTATCGTATCAGGATTAATCTTAATTTTTAAATCAAAATAAGACCACAAGCAACAAAACAGAAGATAACTTTCAGTGATCAACACTGAGCTTCAATTCAACACAATCAAGAGCAGATATGCATAAACCAAGAGCAAAAATGTTTTAGAGTTAAAATAAAACCCCAAGAATGTCCCTACAGCCTCAAAAATGGCTCCTTTATCTCCTCGCTATAAGTGAAACCATTCTGTCTCTGCTTCCCTTTACACTGGCAAGAAAGGGGGCAGAGTTGCCATTCTCTGCCATGTCCCCTCCATCTTCCACATCACTTTCCCTCTTCTTCCAGACCCCTGTCCATCTTTGTCCTGCAAGGGTCTCCTCATTCTTTGAAGTCCACAACTGCATGGATTAGCTGCTATACTCTTGGGAGTTACTTCTGCTTTCCTTCTGATCTATCCTATTTAAAATTTCATCCTCTTTGGTGAACAGCCTGGCCTATATTCCTACAACTTCCTCAACCTTCCCAGCTCTGGCCATCCGTGACACTCTGCACCTCAGATGAGAGCTCCAGTTCCGAAACCCCTTTCCCACAGCTCACCTGCACACCCGTTCTCCCTTCACCACTGCTGTGGGGTACACAACCCCTCTCTCTATTTCTCCAAGGCTTCTGGCTTCATCAATGTCCCAGCCAAAACTAGACCCCCAAATCTGACATCTTCATACCCTCTTCTAAGCATATAAAATGGCTGTTATTCCTTATGCTTCCTTATTCACCTGGCCAATCTCCACATATCACTCAAATGTTTTACTTATGCCTCTGGATACCAAGAACTTTTGAAGAAAGTCAGCAGAATGAGTCAAGTAACTTCACTACAGATGATACTACTTAATCTAGCTGGGCTGCCTGGCAATTTTAAGAAGCATCTTTGCTTCCCTATGTCATTTCTAAGAACGAAGATTAAAATTTACATAAGCAGCTTCAATGTCCCTTCTTTCCACCTCTAAATGTCTCTGAACCTAAACCTCTCTCCTCTCCTATCTTACCAGAAGTGCCCCTTTTCCAGATACAATCACAGATTCTTGACCTGATTGCCTCCAGGGCCTTATTCTAATACTTATCATTTCCCCAGCCTGCCTCACAGTGTAGGCACTGACCCTTCTTCACTGGCTCCTTCTAGTTGATTCTTCTTAAATTAAAAAAAGAAAGAAAGAAAAACTAGCCTGGCCTTTCCTTCACCAGGCCATTTCCTCATTCTATTTTCTACTGTGCCTTTTGCTTCCCGGGTGGCTCAGTGGTAAAGAATCCACCTGCCAATGCAAAAGACGCAGGTTCAATCCCTGGGTCGGGAAGATCCCCTAGAGGAGGAAATGGCAACCTATTCCAGTATTCTTGCCTGGAGGATCCCATGCACAGAGGAGCCTGGCAGGTATAGTCCACGGGGTTGCAAAGAGTTGGACATGAGTTTAGCAACTAAACAACAACCCTTCCGTTTACTGCTAACAGTTAACAGTGTAGCCTATATTCACTACCTTTTCCTCATTTACCATTCATTCCCCAGACATTACACTTTAATACTCCTTTGAACTTGCTCTCAAAGGTCACCAACATTTTCACAACAAAATCCAGGGGCCTCTTCTTACTGTTCCTTCCCCCAATCTCTCCAGCATCTGATACTGTAAGCATCCTCCATACCTGCCCTTCTATTCGCTCATGCCCTGACACACCTGTCTTTCATTTCTTAGAACTCTTCTTCCTTGACCTAAGCAACCAATTATTTAATCTAGTTAAGTGCTTAAATTAATCTAAAACCAAGTAATTTTTTTCCCCAAACCTGTCCTCTTCCTAATGTCTATATTTCTATAAATGGCACTGTTATCTTTGCCACTCAAGCCTAAAATCTAAAGTTTTTCAGCTCTTTTCTATCCCTCATCAGTACAAGACTGTCTAGATCAAAATATCTCTATGAGACATGTCATATATTTAAACTTTCCACTACCAATAAGGCAGTCCTCCCATCCCCTGCCTGAGTTCTCATAACGGTCCCTGAATTGGTCTCCCCTCTCCAAATATCCTCCACTAGGGCTGGATCATGCCCTCATACTAATGAAACCACAGACCAGTCCAGTTCCTTTAGACTGGTTCCTTTGGACACTGGCAGCCCGATGTCAAGTTCCTTTAACTTAGCCACAATCTCTATTTGTCTTACTACATGGCAACCTCCTAGATGACAAACATCTAGGTCATCTTAAGAGTCACCTCCAGGAATACCGAACAAACAAAGGCAGTATCTCAATTGCAGAAGTTGTTTAAGGATGTTTATAGTCATTCTTTTAACAACAGCTGGTAATAATTTATCTTACTTCTTCCGTGACGATTTCATGCAAATCTGGAATGCTCAGATCTGCTTTCACAAAAGGAATCTTATCCACCTCTTCAGGAAACGGTCGATGTTTCACAGTATATTTAAATCCAACATCATTTTTAGGAACTGGACGAGGTTCAGGCACAAAAAGCTGTTAAAAAAAACAACATTATGCTTATTACATTTGGTGCTGTCTGAAATGACATGTATTTCCCTGGTCTCTTAGATGTCCGTGTTTCCCTAGGGTTACAAAACACAGAATCTCAGTAAAAATCTGCAAATACTACTGCTAATGGTAAAGGCACCAGTGTACTCTTCTTTATTTTTATAAAAATTTTCATCAACTTATAGATTTTTGTGACTGATATATGTGTTACAGACCTCTACTGTACCAGGCCTGAATCTTCCACATTCAGTGATAAGCTGATAGATAAGGCATTTCCAAATTTAAGGCTCAAACTTCCTTCTTCCCCCAAGGACTCTCAAATCATACAAGTTTACATCCACTGGGCATCTCTAGACAGTGAATTCAATAATAAGAAACTCAACATGGCTTAACTGAAAAAGTCGGGCTCCAAATCTAGGTCTTCATGGCTCCAAATCCCTGTTTTAATAAACACATATGAGCTATGTGACTTCTGTTTCCACATTTGACAAACGGAAACAATACATCACAAGACTGCTCCAAGAATGAAATAAAAAAATATATGGCACATATTAAACTGTCAAACAGGTTTTAGGGCCTTTTTTGACCTTCTTCCTCCTCAGTCTTTAATGGGACTGAGTGGTTTTAAGTGTTTCTGACAGACTGTGACTGGTATGACACCACTAGGAGAAAACAGGCGTGTGCTCCTCAGAGCAAACACATGAAAGAATTTTTAATAACATAAGTAAAAGCCTACAATGTGATAAAAAATGAAAAGAGCAGTATACAAAAATGACTAAATTCTACTGAAATGTTAGGTACAGAAAGGGAAAAAAAGATTGGAAGAAAATCCACTAAAACATTAACAGAGGCTGTCTACTTCTGAAGAGTGACAATAAAATAGCTTCTTCATTATTTTCATTTTCCAACTTTCTCCCATGAGCAAATTTCATTCATATATTTACAACTGTTGTAAAAAAATAAACTGTGCCACCCCAAAGAAAGACTTTATTAAATTATACAGCACATTAAAAAAATTACAGAGCATATTACCAGTTATACAGTTAAATGAAACAATTAGAAACTAAGTACTACTGATAGAGACATCTAGGATCTGGCCAAACTTTTTTCATATGGCATATGGCAGATTTTATTTAACATTCCATGAAAAAAGTTGGGGCCACTGTTCAGAACAGCAGTTCTTTTTTTTTTAACTTTTACTTAGAAGTATAGCTGATTAACAATGTTGTGACAGTTTCAAGAGGACAGCAAAGGGACTCAGCCATACTCAGAAGAGCAGTTCTTAATCTTAAGTGGCTGTCAGAGTCACCCAGAAAGTTTTCTGAAATTACACCTGCCTTGAAGATGTTTTTAAAGAGTATTTCAGTGGACCTGGAATTCTAGCCTCCTAAGATGATTCTGATGTGAACTCACTAAGAACCTGGCTAGGATCAAAAATATTTATTTTCTCTGTGATTTTTGCTGGAATATTATTTAACCTTTAAATCACAACACACAAAAACACACACACAGGCACTCACTCCTAGCCATTCCCCTGTAACTTCTGATGGATACCTTCTGATTTGCTTTTGCTCCTCTGGGTAAAAGGCAAAGTTGTTGTGCCCAAGCAAGTCTTCCAGACATTCCCCGGACGAGCACAGTGACAGAGGGGAAAAAATCATCTAGAATAAAATGTTGGTGAAAAAGTTTTTATTTCCGACAACATATAAAATACCCCTGCTGTCAATTTTAGAGCCTCTAACAAAGACAGCCTAGCACAGTGCTTCTCCAGCTTTTCTCCTTTCTGAACCACCTCTGCGGATTCTGCCGTATCCATGTACTGCTGTGACTATTATCTTACTTTCTTTATTAACTTCTTTCTTCCCTTTTTCTTTTTTTTAAAAGGTAAATTATATCCTTAAAAGGAAAACCAGGAACTCTGGTGTGCTAATTATATATTTTTAAAACACCTGCTTAAAAATACATAATGTTTACCGACACACCAATTAACATCATATCACATACCTCCAGCAGTACACACACACATTTTTTGGAAACATTATCCTGGCAAATACTCTTAACTGTCAGTGCTGCAGATGGTCTAAATGCAAAAGACAGGCTGGGTGCTTCTGAAGCTGAAGTTATATCCACCCATGCCTTTATGTACTGCTGCCCAGTACAGCAGAAACACTGGCAGGCACTGTTTCATCCCAAGGGAGAATGAATGCAGAATGGACTTCCTAAGCACCCAGATCCTTCTTCCTATTCCCTTTTTTTGCCTCTGGTCTAGCAGTCAAACTTGTTCAAATTTCTCTCACTTTTGTTTTAAAATTATTTAGAACTTTTGTTCTAAATAATCCCAATTGTTTATATTTTTGGTAGACTTTCAATGCAATGAAATCACTTAGAATGAGAGTAGTGGAGTCTTAAAAAATTTGGAAAAGGGTTGACACCCCCCAGACCAGGAAACCTGGAGGGGAGACTGGGATTTTACAGACTATTATAGCAGACAGCTTGGGAGTGGGAAGCAGGAGGAATCAAGAATAATTGCTACAAGCCAGGGAAAAACGTCAAGGAATCCCAGGTCTAAGGTAGAGAAGGATGAGGTACCTGCAGGAAAGACCTGGGACCAGTGCTTCTTGAGTTGGGCAACAATTAGAAGCCCCATCTAGTTCTTATTAAAATCACTATATTTTACCACAACATGAAGGACACCTCTGGTGGTACTTCCCTGAACTTCTGGGAAACATCTAGTTTCATTTTATGAACAAGTCAAATATCCTCTCTGAGTCCTACTTTCTTCATCTATAGATTCCCTGGGTCCCTGTATGCCCAAAGATTCTGTAATCTTCACTTTCCTTCCCCTTGCCAGCAATAAGGATTTCTCTAAATACATGCTTCCTTTACATACTGGTTGATTCCAATTACAATCAGAAAAAAAATGTACTTTAAGCAGTCTGCATTGCAGTGGTAATACACCTTGAGATGCTTATAACTTGGGGAAAGATGGGAAGAAAACAGTGCATGTTGCATCAATGGAAAAATCAATGAAGGATTTTCAGGAGGGCATGGGCATGATCAGATCTGCAATGGCAGCCAAGTAGGATGGAGGGAAGGGTAATGAATTTTGGAACTGGAAGGAGGGACAATCAGATCAGGCAAGAAGCAAGTGCAATAATCTAGAAATAATAAAGTCCTGCATTTGGTTGTATTGGGAGGAATGCAGAGAAGAGAAGGTGCTAAAGTCACTAAGGGAAGAGAAACCTGGACACCAAGTACATAATGGAATAACAGGAAGGAGCAGGTGAAGATGACTCCTCCAATTTCCAGCCTGTCTGGGTGGCAACAATAACCGGAAAAGAACAATGTGGAGTGAGGGCAGGACAGGAGAGGTACAGGATCCAAAGGTCAAGAAGGAAGAAAAAGGAATAATGATTTTCATACACAGGGAACAACAGAAAATATTCTACCAAAATAAACTTTCTATAAAGCTATGGAGCTCTTTTCTAATAGATATACACTGTTAAGTGTCAGTCGCTTAGTCGTGCCCAACTCTTTGCGACCCCATGGACTGCAGCCCACCAGGCTCCTCTGTCCATGAGATCTTCCAGGCAAAGATACTGGAGTGGGTGGCCATTTCCTTCTCCAGGGGATCTTCCCAACCTAGGGATCAAACCCAGGTTTCCTGCACTGCAGGCAGATTCTTTACTGACTGAGCTACAAGGGAAGCCCCCCAAAAAAGTGAAAGTGAAGTTGCTCAGTTGTGTCTGACTCTTGGCAACCCCATGGACTGTAGCCTACCAGGCTCCTCTGTCCATGGAATTTTCCAGGCAAGAGTACTGGAGTGGGTTGCCATTTCCTTCTCCAAAATATTTCTTTGAGCCCCCTTTTTTTTGGGGGGGGGGGCAAGAATACTGGAGTGGGTTGCCATTCCCTTCTCCAGAAGATCCTCCCGACCCAGGGACTGAACCCGGGTCTCCTGTGTTGTAGTCAGATGCTTTACTGTCTGAGCCACTATAGCACAGTTGGTAAAGAATCTGCCTGCAATGCAGGAGACCCCAGTTCGATTCCTGGGTCGGGAAGATCTGCTGGAGAAGTGATAGGCTACCCACTCCAGTGTTCTTGGGCTTCCCTTGTGGCTCAGCTGGTAAAGATATACATAAAAGAACCTCTAAAAGATTCTATTTCATAGGTACATTCCACTATCTGACCCTCTGCTTTTCAGTTGCTACTATCTCATCAGCTAGAAGCCTTTTTTGATAAATGCAAAATTACTTAGAATTTGTCTTTCCTTCCCCGATCCCAGAGACAGCTTGCTAATACTGACAGACATGTTGATTTAGCAGTGGAAAAAGCCCAAAGTGCTGAAACTTACTCTGTTCATTTCCAAGAGGTTGCTCCAGCATTGCCAGGATGACACTGTTATCCAAGACAAAGTACCGGAAACTATGTTTGTTTATGGTTGGCAGTCTGGAGTATTTGATCAAAGTGGTCTCATTCACCAGACTACAAGGAGAGGCAGGACCACTGGGTGAAGGAAATGCGCCAAGCAACTGCATAATACTAGAGAGAATGTAAAAGATAACAGTTAATTCCCAAAGCAAGACCATAACTTTACCCCATGCATCAATCGGTCTCTCTAGACTGATCTGACCACAGCCGTGCTTCCTCTTTGAGGGTCAGATTTACTCCCTGTGGTGGATGCTGTGGTGTGCTGTCCCGATTCCCTCTCCAAAACTGAAAAGATCCACTGCCCAGATACAGGGAGATGGTGGCCCTAACTTTCAGCTGAGTCCTGGAGAGGCCAATGAGAACCTCTTTATTCAAGACCACAGCTTCCTCCTGGGACAGCTCATGTCCAATGAACTGTTGATGCCAGGGGATAAGGGGTATAAAGTCCCAGTACCCGGGCCCCAACATGAGAGACTCCTGAAGGGCCAGCCCAGATCCAGAGCCCTTTGCTGCAAATGCATCACAGTTTGGTTCTTCCCTCTACTCAGTCCAACTTCCCTCATTCCCCCACAAGGGTTGATCCTGACAGCACTTTCCAATAAACCTCTTTACAGGCAAATTTCTCTCTCTCTCAAAGCCTGCTCCCCAGGGAACCTGGCCAATCATACTTCCAAATCATGAAGCTCCTAAAGATATATTTTAAAAATATGCACACTCCAGGTTTAAGGACTATGCTAGCTAAAGCATTCTAGACCCAGACAAGGATCTGAAAATCAGCCAAATCCCCTCAACTTTCCAGCTGAGGAAACTCAGGCTCAGAAGAGATAAGTGATCATTAAAAGACCAGAAACCAAGACCTGCTGCCTTCTCACTGTGTGGCCATGAATAGCTATCCTCATTTTACAGACAAGGTACTTGATGCACTAGTAGTTACAGAACTGTTGTAATTATTAAATGAAAATCTATAAGAAAAAAATACCTTTTAAATTAGAATTCAACTGATCAAGCCTAAACATTCCAAAATGTTTACATCCACAGAGATCCCTGCATGTCTTCAAGGAACAATAGTAATAACTTATATAATACCACTCACTATGTCCCAGAGTCTGGAGCGAAGCACTTGACACATGACATTTTATTTAGTTATTATAACAATCCTATGAAATAGGTACCATTATTATTCCCATTTCATAATTAAGAAACTGAAACACAGAAAGAATCTGAAGAACACATAAAGATTTTATCTTGTGGTCCTAATATCATCAGACACTTCCAAAGCAACCCATTTGCAAAATTAGTATTCCCCCCTACTACTTTCATCATTGCAATTCTCAGCTTGAGTAGCCTCTCCTCTTCTAGAACTTTCATTCTAATGCTTGAACCCAAATCTCTCTGGTAACAGAAGACAACACTGCTCAACAGATATTTTCCCTCTATTCTCTCTCCTCCTAGGACGAGGACTATCTTAAGAATTTCAAGGACAAGGAGAATTTCATGATGAGTTCAGGCCAAAGGATTTGTAGAAAACCAGTAATGGGAAAAACACAGGCTTTCTAATATGGAACACAGATGGTTGTCACAAGCATCTGGACCATGTAAGCTTGTGTTTCATGCAAGATTTTAAGACATTATCAAATAGGATGCTGGGAAGGGAATAGGTCACTAAGATCAAATCACACCAGCCTAACTACATTTTCTCTTCTCGATAATGACTAGACTAGAAAGGCAGAGAAGTATCTCTGAAATCAAGATGTGCAATTTACTTGGCAGTGTATCATTAAAAACTTATAGATAAGATTTTAAAATCCTTGTGAACCAGAATGGAAATCTCTTATCCAGAATGGAAATCTCTTATCATGTGCTTCATCAGTCTTTTTCTGTACAAAATTCTTATCAGAGTTTCTGATTAGGACACACAGGACAGCCTCATTAAATCTGCAGTTGACCTAAAGTTGAGCTGAGGAGTTAATATTATCAGAGTTAAGAGCTGGGATCCAAAAGAATCTTAAAGGATTAAAAATAATAAGGTAAATCTTACATAAAGAAATTTCAAGTTTAAATGTAAAATTCTATAATTACATCCCAACACCCCCAAACAAGTATTCAGGATGAGAAAGACAAAGGGTAAATGTGTTTAAAAAAAAAAAAATAGCCTCTAAGGTTTGGCTTGACTAGGTTCTCAAAAACCCAATTTTAATGAAAATATAATATTCTACAGAGTTTAAAGGTGATCACCCTTTAAAGAGGTACAGAGTCAAACCAATGCCACTGAAAGGAAAATGACTAGAATAAAAAGTACTTTAAATCCCTGTCATAAGAAAAATAGTTAAAGGTACTGGCAGAAAAGAATGAGAAAGAACATGAGCATTCTTGGGATTCCTTCAGTGATCCAGCAACTAAAACTCTGCCTTCCAATGCAGGCGTGTGGGTTTTATTCCTGGTCAGGGAACTAAGATCCCACCTACCAGGGAATGCAGCCAAAATGTAAAATAAAAAACAAACAAAAGAACACAAGCATTGTCTTCAGACATTCCCACTCCTTGGAAAAAAAGGATTTCGTGATCAAAAGTCTGAATCAGAACAAATGGGTACGAGTTAAAGTGGGAGAGATTTCAGCTCAATGGAAACACCAAGTTTTCAACAATTAACATGAAATGGGCACTTGGAGGGGGTTTAAAATATCCCAAAATTAGAGGCTAAATAACTTGGTCAATAACTCTTAAAAATCACTAAGCAGAGGGGCTACTGAAATGACTTCCAAGAGTCCTAATGTGTATTATACAACAAGGGGAAAAACACCAACAAGCTGATCTGCATTCTGTATCTCCTGTGTGCTCACACTGTGAGGAGTGTAAAAAGGGAACTGGGTGTAAAAAGCCCCCAGGGTGGGGAGCTAAGACTAGCACATTATCAAACATGACCAGGTGTGATTATGACACCATAGAACTCACATAGTGTGGCAGGGTCAAACTGAATGAACACAGAGGTGTGGAAAAGAAGGAGAATAATCAAAGAAGATTCCATAGAGGTAGCTAGATGTGATGTGAGCAGCTAACTGTGGAGGATGTGGCCAAGAGGAGAGGGAAGTCCTGAAACGCAGGGGAAGTAGACAGACAGGTATGAACAAGCGCAGTTCACAGCCACAAGTGGCCAGCCAGCTGGGGCAGAAGGGCTGTGCTAGGAAAGATCACAGCTTGAGTGGGGACTCAAGGAGGGCCTTGAACACCAAACCAAAAATGTCACACCATATGGCAATAAACAGAAATCTTCTGCTGTTTTCAAACACTCACACAGCAGAATAAGCACAGTACCTAAGATGATGAGTCCAGTAACAGAATGCAAAATGAAAAGAGAGATTGAAAACAGGGAAATCAGACAGAAAGTGAGAAGGGCCTGGACGAGGATGGCGAGGTCTGAGGGAACGGAGGAAATACTTCCAAAATTAAAGTCTACTAGACTTGGTCACTGACTTCATATGGGGAATGACAGATAAAACAGAGATAAATCAGGAAGAGTCAAAATTTTAAGTTTGCATAGCTGAAAACAGTCATGATACTAACACAAAGTTCTAATTGTGTGGGAACAGAGAAAATTGGTTTTGGATGTTTCATGATGGCTCTTTCAGTTCAGTTCAGTTGCTCAGTCGTGTCCGACTCTTTGTGACCCCATGAATTGCAGCACGCCAGGCCTCCCTGTCCATCACCAACTCCTGGAGTTTACTCAAACTCATGCCCATCGGGTCGCTGATGCCATCTAGCCATCTCATCCTCTGTCGTCCCCTCCTCCTCCTGCCCCCAATCCCTCCCAGCATCAGGGTCTTTTCCAATGAGTCAACTCTTCTCATGAGGTGGCCAAAGTACTCGAGTTTCAGCTTCAGCATCAGTCCTTCCAACGAACATCCAGGACTGATCTCCTTTAGGATGGACTGGTTGGGTCTCCTTGCAGTCCAAGTGACTCTCAAGAGTCTTCTCCAATACCACAGTTCAAAAGCATCAATTTTTTGGCACTCAGCTTTCTTCACAGTCCAACTCTCACACCCATACATGACCTGGCCCTTTTTAAGACATGAGGCCTTTTGTAGAGCTGCCAGCAGAGATAAGATGAGCCACCTAGACAACTACTGCCTAGGTTGGGGACTACGAGCATGACTCTCTGCTCATTCTGGGCTCATATCCAATCCTCACTGCCAATCATGCTCTCAATGGAATGTCCCATCCACAGGCTAGGATGGAGCAAACTTATTTTTATATAATGCAGAGTCCCAGTGAGAAATAGCTTTCCCCCTTTCTTCATATCCCTTTTACTCTTCAAGGTACACATCAGATCTTAGTTTTTAATAGTATTTTTAAGTCCACCCCAGACCACGCATGGTCTTCTCTCTGGGCTTTAATCATTTCTAGTAATTAAACACATTTTTCTGATTTTCCAGCTGTTAGCCAAACCTCCACAGTCATTGAAAGCCCAGTATTGGCACAGGAGGACTGAACTAAAGCAAGTGAGCAGGACTGAACTAAAGCAAGCATGCTTCTAAAACTTTACTGAATAACCTAAGCCCATGAGGAACAGAAATAAACCCAACTTTATTGTGCATGCCCCAAGTTCTCTTGGAAAAGGCTCACTTGCATACAAATCTTCTATAAGCTGTCTTCTTGTGTAGTCACGGAGTTGTGTCTGACTCTGCTGTGATGCGATGGATTGTAGCCCACCAGGCTGCTCTGTCCATTGCATTCCCCAAGGCAAGAATACTGTAGTAGCTTGCCATTTCCTTCTCCAGGGGATCTTCCTGACCCAGAGATCAAATCCCTGTTTCCTGCATTGCAGGCAGATTCTTTACCTCTAAGTCACCAGGGAAGCCCTCAAGCTGTCTTACTGCTTTTACTAAGACCAAGATGAGCCAACTTAATATGACCTGACATTCCTCCTCCCTGCTTTTTATGTTGTTCTGGATCTTCACTCATACTTACCCTCTCATAAGCCACTTCTTCCCAACTGTACCAATTCTACCTAATCTTCTCTACCTATCTCTTTCAGTCAATAAACTGCCTTTCTTCCCACTTCCTACTCTGTTAACTAACTGGCCAAACATAAACTCTTTCAACTCTCTGCTACTTTTTCAAGATACCAACCTGTCTCCATCCCTTCATTATCAAAATGGTTGAAATAGGAATTCTCTCTTGCTGCTGTAACCACTCTGCAATCTGACTTATAGCTCAAACTATCCATTCTCCGAGAGTCAGGTCAATGTGATTTTCCTCAGGAATCTGACTTCCCCGAATCGGACAGTATTCATTCCTTTCTTCCAACACAGCTGCAATCCATATGTACCCCTTCTCTTGGAGCATTTATTCTCTAGCTAATATTATAGATATCTGTGTTCATATCTTATTCCTCCCTTTTGGACTAGAAGCTCTCTGGATGTGGTAACTAAATCTGATTTATTTTTACAATTCTATTACTAGTTCGTAACAGGATGTTTATAAGTTTTAGCTGAATGAACCTATCATACGTAATACAAATAGTGAAGCACAGAATAAAAATCACTAAGCTGGAAAGCAGAAGAGGTAATGGTGTGATCGAAGCCTCTGGACTCAGCCATCAGAGTGAGGGTGTGGGTAAGGCTCTCCAAGATCCTTTCTAGCCCTAACATGATATGACTTGAATTACTGTCAGCCAGCATAGAAAAACAAGGACCCAAACTTTTAGCCTCAAGTTCCTGGTTTCTTTGGTCCAAAAGAACAAGACAGTTTCTTTTCCATTTCTGGGGAAAAAGTATCCTAAATCAGGTTATGTCACTTAATGCTGAACAACTGGGGAGGAGATGAAACAACACAGGATGACATCTAATCTGTTCTAACTCCGAGACACAACCCCTGTGACGTCACTTTCGTACCACGTTAGGGTGGCTTCAGCAGCATCCTTGACCCTCATAGAGGCAGGGTTTGGCTCCTTATCACCTTTGTACTTGACCTCTTGCTCACTGTTCTTGGACTTGCTTCCTGAAATACCCAGTTCCACAATTTCCAGCACTTCCTTAAGACAATCCTAGAAAAAGAAAAAGCAGATTAGTTTCTGTAATACATCTATCTTATGAGAAGACAAGGAAATACATCCAAGTGCCAATATTGGTTGTGTTTTGGTGGTGGGACTCTAATTTCTCATTTACTTTGGTTAGGTACATATTAACTTCATAATAATTTAATGAAATAAACTTGCCCCCCCCCCATTTTTCTTTAAAGATTAAATTTGAGTATTGAGAGTTCTAGATAGTAAGTAATGATAAATTCACTTCAATTTTATCAGTCATCATTCTTGTAAAATTTCCATGGACTATAAATTGTGAAAGCCAACTGAAAGAGATGTAATAGTAATTCAGCTATACCTGGATAGTTTTAAAGCAACTTCTGGTATCCTAATGCTATACGTCATTATGCAAATAACTAAGATTTAATCAATGGTATTATCTTTATAAACTATATAAAGCTCTGTGTAATTTTCCAATAAGCCTGGTATCTCTTCTTTTATTTACACTATGCATTCTTTTATAACTGCCTTCCCATAAGAAAAGTATTACATGGAACAATGGTAAAAGAAAGCAGCCTTACAAAAAAAAAAAGAAAGCAGCCTAGATAATATGCATTTACTTAAAATGAAAGAAATGTGTGAAATGAAATTTTTAGCTACAAACAACCTTTACGAACAAGGTGTTCTCTAGGTTTGCAGCCTAGTTATCAACTGCCCTTTCTGGTCTGATGATAGGTGACCAAAGTATCTTCTGGCCATCTCAAGGCTACCATCCTTTCAAGAAAAAACAACCCTGATTGTTTGTAGATAAATTAGCCAAAGCTCCATCTTTCAAAGAATTTCTCTACAGGTTAATCTGCAATCAACTACAGTTGACCTCTGAGCAGCATGGGAGTTAGAGGCATCGACCCCCAGCAAAATAAAGAATCCACATATAAATTATTTTTTATTTTTTTTTCTGTTCCACACATAAGTTAGTTAGCCCTCCATATATGCAGTTCCTCCCTATCCACGGCTCCACATTCATAGGTTCAACCAATTACAAATCATAACAGTATTTACAGTTTTTTTTAAATTTGCATGTAAGTGGACCCACAAAGTTCAACCCTATGTTATTCAAGGATCAACTATATAAGCATGATGGTAGTTTATAGGATAAGTGTTCCCCTGAAATATAACAAGTTATATTCATCTTAAAGTATGCAATACTGGATTTAAATTTAGATATTCTTTTTTAAAAGATATTTTCCCAATATACATTTTTGTTCCTATTTTCTGTTTTAGTATCTAGTAAACTAACCTTTTCATCAAGCATGTCGGGGTGCTCTGTCAGCCAGACACAGAGACACTGAAAAGCCGCCACTATCATGGAGTGCAGGTCCCGGGAGTGGAGAGGAGCTGGCCGACTACACTGGTATACAATGTAGCTGCACACGGAACTGATGGCTCGCTTCCGGTCTCCAGAGTCAACCACCACCTTCACCTGAGCATATTCGTTTGGGGAACACAGTTAGCCAGGAACCATGGTACCAATTTCAAAGCCTCTACACCAAGGCTCAGCCTTTCTGAGAATATAATATTTCAGATGTACTATCATATACACTTTATAAAAAGAGAGGGCATTTTTCAAACTCTATAACAGTAAAATTTCATTTTAGCATTCTTTTTCATGCTCTAAAACCTAAACTGCTGGGGTACAACTACTCATCACTGCCACAGATCACAAGAAAAGCTGGCAGTGGAACATGCATACATTTTTTAAGCCCCCTAATCCACCCCACAGTGATGCTCTATGGGCTACAAAGTTCTATGCAGCTGTCCAGAGGTATAATTAACATATAGTAAACTATACATATTTAAAGTGTACAATTTGGTAAATTTTGGTTAAGTATACACCTGTAAACTATTACCATAATCAAGATGGTAGACATATTCATCACCCCTCAATGTTCTTATGCATCTTTATAACACTCCCCCCTCAAAAAAAACTTCCCCCCGACTCCTTTCTGCCCCCTTCCTAGGTTACTACTGATTTGTTTTTTGTAACTATAGGTGAACTTGCATTTTCTATAATTTTTTATAAATAAAATCATAGACTACTATACTAATTGGGTGGGGGGAGAGTCTGGCTTCTTTTTACTCAATATAATTGTTTTGAGATTTATCCAGTCTTGTGTGTATCAATTTTTCATTCCTTTTTACTACTGACAGTATTCCATTATATGGATTATACCATAATTAATTTATCCAGTCACCTGTTGGACATTTGGATTTTTTCCAGCTCCTGAGTATTACAAATAAAGCTGCTAAGTATAAGACTTTCTAAGAGTATATGTTCTTTTACTTCCTAAGAGTGGACTGACTGGATCATATGATAGGTGTATGTTTAGTTTTTTAATGCCCTGTGAAGTGTGAATGAAAGTCGCTCAGTCGTGTCCAACTCTTTGAGACCCCATGGACACATTTTTTAAGCCCCTGTGGAATTCTCTATGCCAGAATACTGGAGAGGGTAGCTTTTCCCTTCTCCAGGGGATTGTTTTCTAAAATGGTTACACCATTTAACATTCCTTTCTCTTTTTTTGTACACGAATATCTGATTGTTCCAGCACCACTGGCTGAAAAGACTATCCTTTCTCCTTTGAATTATCATGGCACCTCTGTCAAAAATCAAATGTCCATACACATGCGGATCTATTTCTGGACTCCCCACTCTATCTACTGATCCAGCTGTCTAGCCTATTCCAATACCAGACTGTTTTGATTACCATAGCTTTATGGCAAGTCATGAAATCAGGTAGTGTTAGCCCTTCATGATTTGTTAGGTCTAGACCGCACTCCATCTAGGGTTAATTATTCCTTACTGCTGCAAGTGTACTGAAGATCACAGGCAACAGTATCTTGCTCTCAAAGACCACGTGGTCCTGCACATCTCACAAATGGTTGTTCTTACCTCCTACATCAAATAACTGCTCCTCACAAAACTACGGCCATTACATCTATGCTTCAGAATCTCTGAGGTAAAGGTAAGCACTAAGTGGTGGTGAGAACACCTCAGGTTTTCTTATCTATTTTGCCTTTCATGAGTCAGGTAAGTCACAGCCTCTGCTCACCTGACCCCTCATCTATAAAATGAGGACTTAAAGTTTACCACCTCAGACAATATCACCTTATGTGTGTATATCACCTTTGTGTTTACAAAGTGTTCTACATGTTTCATTTCACTTCATCCTCACATCATCAGCTATTACACACAAGATAATCCTGCCTATTTTGCAGATATGAAAATACTTATATGCTAGTGAAGATTCAGAGAAACTGGAACCCTCCTACATCACTGGTGGAAATGTAAAGTGATTCAGTTGCTGAGGCCAACAGTTTGGCAGCTCCTCAAAAAGTTAAATACAGAATTACCATATGACCCAGCAATTCCACTCCTAGTTATATAACCAAAATAACTGAAAACTGGCTTTCAAATAAACACATGTACATGCACGCTCACAGCAGCACTACTACTCACAAAAGTCAAAAGGAAGAAACAGCTCAAATGTGCTACAGAGGAACAGGTAGACAAACTGGTACATAAATATGCTGGAATATCATTTAGCCACAAAATGGAATGAGATTGAGACTTTTTCTACAGCATAAATGAACCTCAAGAACATATTAAGTGAAGAAAGTCACATACAAATGGTCACAGGCTATACGATTTAATTTCTATGAAATATCAGAATAGGTGAATTCACAGAGACAGAATGCAGACTGGTGGTTGTTAGAGATAAGGGGAAAGGGAGACCAGGAAACAACTGCTTAATGGGTACAGGGTTTCTTTTGGGGAGTGATAAATGCTTTGGAACCAGAAAGAGGGGGTGGTTGCACAACACTGTGAGAATACTAACAGGCATTGCATTGTTCACATCAAAAGGTTAATTTTGTTACATGAATTTCACCTTAATTTAAAAAAAAGAGAGAAATGCAAATGGACACCCAACTCTAAGATTCCACAAAATAGATAAACAGTTGGGAAAGAAATCTGAAAGTACAGTCAACTTTCATTTATCTCTGATAATGGAAGATGGAAGAGTCACAGGTAGGCCCAAATGGTATATTTTAGGATAAGTTTTTCTTTCATTGCCAAATCTGTATTTATTCGTTAAAATTAGATGACTGATGATCTTATAATGGCACAAAATGTCATGCTGAAAATTTAAGGGTATTATGAGTAAACACAAAATCAACCAGTATTCTATCACAATGTGCAAATAAAGAGCAAGTATTGAAATGTTTCCTATCATCTAACAGCAAAAATATCATTCACACCCTTTGACCCTATTAAATAAAAAAGTAGATCATTTTGTAAAATCTCACTTGGAAGCTCATTTTTGCACACTTTGAATGTCAACTGTGATGAGTATAATCAAGACTGCAATACCCACACAAAGTGGGTCAGGAGATACAGAAAAAAGAACCATACTCCAAGGTGGCTGGGCTAAAATAAAAGGACTGTCACCTCACCTTTGCCAGTCCAGAGAGGAGCTCCAGAGCTGCCAGTGATATGCTCATGTCTTGCCGCCACTGGGAGTTGAGTCTTTGGGTGACGAGATGAATGCTGCGAATCAGGAGCCCAGCAGCTGAATCTGTATTAAGAGCTAGGATATAACCCCAATGCCACATCCCACAGGGAGGGAAAACAACTAAGCATTAGTAACGAGAAGCACAGCATTCCACTAGGCACAGACCACAGCAGCCACAGTGAGCATGACGGGCACCCACACAGTGCTATGCTCCCCGCCCCACTGGCCTGAGCATCTCAGCCTGACTGAACAATGGTGCGCAGGGCACACACACCGGACCAGAGCAGCTTCTAGCTCCCAGCTCAGGTACTCTCACACAGACATCCACTGGGATTTGAAAGCTTCAATATCATTCTTATAAGAGTATAAATCTCAACATTTCCAAATTAACTCACAGTTACATTAAAAAAAAAAATGAAACAATCAAAAGGCTATCAATTATTTCCTTGAAATTTTATAGAGAAAGGAATTCAAATTTCAGAATCTCTTCAGACGCTGGGAATTATCCTAAAGCATCTGCTGAAATTATTTTCAGGGTTTATATCGTCAGAAGTCACATGCAATGCTTTTTCAAGCAAACTTTAACATTTAATTCTCTGAGACTCTTTTTAATACTCTTAAAAAATTAAATAATCAAGTTACTGTGTTTTTATGTAGCCTCCAATTCTATACTTAAAAGTAATTACTATTCAATTAATAATAAACTAGGACAAATTAAATTTATAAAGGAAGCTTTAGGGACATTATACCTGTCGATCCTATCAGAAAGAGGGCAGTGACAACAGAAAAAGGAATGATCATTAAAGAGAGACATTCATGCGACACTAACACAAATCTGGATTTCTTAGTAAAAACTATTTTATGACATTACAAGCAGAACTCACTAACACCAGTTCAAAATACTGAAACAAACAATAACCACTTCGAACATTTATATTAGAACACATATAATAATGCAAAAACTTCTTTAGTTTAAAAGTGTCTTAGAAGCAGGAAAAATAAACAAATTTTCACCTATACTTAAACCAAACATAGTGAATAAAATAACAATTTAAATAACTTCTTAATAAATGCAATATTTCAATGTGTTAAATAGCCACATAATGACCTTATGTATATGACAAGCTGAATGATACTTATAGCAAACTTAAATCACTGAAACATGCCTGGACTCCTGGGCTTATAAACTCTCCAAATGATTAAAAAATTAAACTTCACCTAAGAAGCTAGATTTCATTCCAATCTAGTTGGATTAATAATCTTAGATTCAATACACCACTAGTATTTATGCATAAAAACATAAAAGGCACCCACAAATTCAACAGAACCCGGAAGGCAACTGGCCAGGGTAAAGGACATTACAGAACAGGATGCTCTACTTGCAAATGCTTCCTTACTCTTTGTGACTGAAGAATCTAACCAGACATAGTAGGGTATACAGGCTTCAAAAACAAAGGCAGATTCTCCTTTGGGTTGCCATCTAATGCATAAACCATTACCCATCCTCACTACACTGCAAAAACTGAAATACTGACTGATTCTGCCATTAGACTTAGGCAGTGCCTAAATCCTATTTGACTCTAAATTATTAGCACCTGGTACAGAATTCAGAAATGCTTCCTATAAATCACTTATAAAATCTACGAAACTATCCAAAATCTAACTACTAAAAACTGTAGAGCTAAATTTAAAAGATCTGTTTTCTTTTTCATAATGTTTTAGACTAATAGCTTCTCTGCTATATTAAGTACATAAAAACCATGAACATGAAAATCTAGTTTAAAATTTCTCTGCTTGTTTTATATAGCTGGGCATTAAAAGTTATTCTATAAACTTTAGATTAAAAAAAAAACTAAACTAAACATGGCTTACCATAATCTCTCAGGAGAGCCTGAGCAGGTCTTTCACTGTCAGGAGTTGTGGGTTCTGTGCTTCCACCACTTGCTGAACTAATACCACTGTTCGTGCGACTATGACTCTTGAAGTTATTTTCTCCACCACCCTAGTCAAAAAAAAATGAATCAAATATGTAAGTATGGACAGAAGTCAATCACTAAAAGCCATGCTGGTAAAATGGAATGTACCAGCTAAATAGCACAAACTGATACGTAGATAAAAATTGACAAAGGATTAAAACTGTTGTGGTGTTTTTGCATAAACACCATTTACTGGTGGTATCAAGGGTCTGATGATTAGTGGGTGCCCATTCTGGAATCATCTTTGCTGCTGTTTAAAAGGATCAGACTTTTTCCATCTTCACTAGACTTCAATAGTTAATGGTTCTGGGTCTGTAAAGAAATATCCTAGTGCCTCCCAAGCAAAACTTCAGAATAGGAATACATCTTAAAAACACAAATAAACAAATAACAGTAACTTTCCAGTGTTACATAAAATATACAAACAATAAATATATGATTAGTATATTTAGCATATATCAGTATATATCTATAGATAGATAAAGATCAACTCTTATATGTACAGGAGCTAATGACGGTATCTGCTGAAGACTTCCCTCATTTCCCCTACAAACACAATTCATTTTATCCATGCAAGGTGACTGTTATTAGCCACCTAGTGGGACATGAACATAATTTCCTTAATGATAATTTGATCACCCATCCTACATCTACTCATCTCACCCCAGCATACTCGGTTAATTCACCTCCCACCAACTGCCTGCCTCTATTCCAGGTAGAGGGATCACATGTCTTGAAGACAGAAGCAGGGAGCATCGGAGTCTCTGGAAAGTATTTCTGATTTAGAAGCACTAGTGCTTTGGGGAAACCTTCAAATTTTGGTCTAGAGGGACAGAAAGAGCAGCTGAGATAGAAAAGGATAAACTAGATGCTGTTTACAGCCAACACTAGATCTACTACAGATACAAGGAATCACAGAGTATAGGGATTTTTCTAGATTATTCAAGCCAATTCACCAACACAGCAAAAGACAAAAGCTTTAGGTAAACACTGTCCAGGAGTAAAGACAGTGTTTAGCTGGAATTTCTCTCCTGCAGAATCTCTCAGGGACCTGATGAGACACCGAAAGATAAGAAACCTCAAAACAGGTAATATTTTTAAAAGGACCCTCTGAATCAATGAGCTGAATCTACAAACAAATGCCTTTAAGAACACAAGGACAGACATTTTGGAATATAATTTACATAAAAACAGAAGTTGATATTCTCTGACTAATTACATGTTGTATGCTTCTTACCATCTCCATTTGGCAACCAATGGCTTCTAAAAGTGCTGAATCTTGAACAATATTTAACATTGCCCCTGAAACAACAAAAAAATACATTTAAATACATGACAAGAATACAAAAATGGACAAAATATCTCAATTAACAGCAAAGATAAGAATATGATTTTAACAGAGTATTCCTGGAAATTCCATACGATTACTGATAAATCCATCAGTTATTCAGAAAAGAAATTCTGCAAAAATGACCTAATTCTGATCTGCCCCCCAAATTTTAAAATGACATTTTTCTAAAATAAATCTGAATGTCAAACTTTGCTTTGTATAAAAACATGACCAATTTTTAAGTTGGTGTGAAAGACTAGATGTACATCTCAATTTCAATGGTAATATAAACTAAGAAAAACATTATGGAACATTTTAAAAGCCAGATTCTGATCTTTTCAGTATAAAATAACAAGTGAAAATCCACAGCTATATCTTTCTGACCAACTGCTTTTTAAGAATGCTTTTAGGGCTTGCCCAGAGGGCAAGGGCTTGCATATTCTGAAGGCAAGCTGCATGTATTTATCACCAAGGAACTCATAGCCCTAGGAACTAGTAAAGAAACAAGATGGTGAACCTTGCACTCTACTTCTCATCCCAGGGAGGGGAGTGCTCCCATGCACTGTGGATTGAAAAAACAGACATAGCTTTGCCAAACTATGCAAGAGTGACAATTGACTCTTCCTTGGAACATACACGGGGAGCTTCTACAGAACAAGGATAAAGCAGAACTAAATACTCCATCAACTGTAGAAATAATCTGATTTCAAGTGCCATGTGTTTTGAACAATCTAAAAAACTACACTTGGAGGCTCTCTCATATTGAGATTTAACCTCTGTTCATTAAACTCCTTTCCAAAATGAAAGGATTTACTCTTTTATTTATTCTCCCTTCTTGCTGCATAACACACTACACTTACCGGGCACCCACTCCAACCACTACTGTCACCACAAATTCTCTGGCCTTGCTGTTTCCCCTCCTGAAATGAAATCCTAACTTCACTGGTGCCTATTCAAATCCTGCCCTATAAGATCCAATTTAATTTCCACTTTCCCCTATGAAATTTCCTTGCTCTTCCAGTTTATTCTCTATCAACACTAAAGACATCCAACATGACATGCAAACAGCACTGCCTTCTGCTGTTATCTGAGTACTCTGGGAAGGTGTTTCACTCTCTGCAATGAGACTTGCTCAAGGATAAAAGCCATGCAATTTGCTTCTTTCTCCTCAGAGTACCTGTGCCTAGGACCATTCCCTTGAATTTGATTAAAAAACAAAAAAGTACAGTAACAGACAGCTGCAGTAACCAAGTTGAAAGGTGATAAGGGTTTAAAATATAAGTGGCCATAATGATGAAAAGTCATTCAAGACAGCATGATTAGAAAACCAACAGGAAACAATAAAGGAAAAGGGAGGAGGCACAGAAACAGCTACTCCTCAATCTCCTCTTGGCAGGTTCTGTCATGACTTCCACAATTACACCCAACTCCAAAGAGCTTTGCATGTTCTAACAGGCAGGAGGAAGAGGCAGAGGTAAAAGTAATGATGGCAGAGAGGAAAGGGGAGAAAAAGGGGACACAAGGAGAGAGGAAGGGCAAAAGGGAAAGAGAAAGAGAAAGAACACACAAAAAACTAAGCCAACATGACCTACCAAGACAATTGATGCGCTCCTTCCCTCATCTTACCTCTTCAAATTGTTTTCACGGTTAAGAGCAAACAATTCTGCCTCTGATTAAGAATTAAGTAAGGCTGTACTTTGCTTAGGTTCCCATCACTGACCCCTGCCTCAAGATGCCTGAGGTCAACAACAGGATCTGGGTTTTCACTTACAAAAAAAATGTGTGAACACAAACCTAGTATCATTTGAGTGTTGTTGGGGTCCGTTTCCGTTTGCAAGGCACCTATTAGTATATTCACAAGTCTCAACTTCAGTGACAAAAAAGTTATTGGTTTATCATAAGAAGAGCTGTCATCATTACTAAACTTTCCTTCCAGGACTACCTGTGGAAGAAACAAATAACATTTAACATCACCTGCTGCGGCACACTACAGTCCTGTAGGAACTGCTACAGTGGGCAAAAAGAGGATCAGTCCAACAAGCAGGGCTTTCAGTCGGACTGATGGTAGCCAATGTGCTAAGTCTATCACTAACTTACACAACATAGGGGATCAGACACACTAGCCTCTCACCACATGAAATAGTAGAATGGTTGAGTGACAGAAGAAATACCTTCACAAATCAACTTTGCTGATTCACTTGAAATAATCTGAAATTTTTAAGAAAGTTCCTGCTCCATCTTAAAAATATAATTTGACTTGAATTAGCACACAAAACATACAGAATATGAAGAACTTTAATAAAACCTTACCTCAGATTTGACTGTGCCAAAGTGATGTGGGAGGGGCAACAAAGAAAGCAGGATATTAATGGAAGATCGTCTCAGTTCTGTTGGATTTACATAGCTTTTGAATTTTGAAAGTTCTCTGCGAAAAAAAAAAAAAAAATAGCTATTAGTATTTCTGAACTGAAGTATGTTTTTAGCTATTGCCAAATATATAGTATGTTAATTCTTCTCAATACAAGTACTGGGTTTGGTTTTACAGAGAATGCTGAAACTACTTTCCACTGAGTTTATATTCTGTAATTTGTGTGTGTTTGGGAGAGAGAACCGCCCTGTTAAACTGTTAGGGAATTGAACTAGAACCTGATGGATTGATTTTAAACATCAGGCCTACGCCACGGAAGCCCTCTGGGCTGGGGCTACCCTGGTCCCTGTGTACCAGGCAGAAAGGAGTCAGAGCCCACGGGCGGAGCAGAGCTGAAGGAGTTCAGGGACGGGGTCTGGACGCTCTACTCTCACTCAATGCGGCCTGAGAGCCCTTGGGTTACGAAGACCACTGACAGGAGAGACTGGGAAACCCGGGAGGAAGCACCAAAACAGACCAGGCCAAAACCAACAACTGACATGCTAGTACAGGATGAAAGCTTACCTGTCAGGCAAAATGGTTTCAAGAGCTGAAATAAAGTAAGGAACCACAACATCAATCCCTTTCAAGTCACAGCAGAACAAAGGAGGGGAGTTTAGAATAACGCTGGCCAAGACAGGATGGCACACATAATCATTTATCTGCAAACCTTGAATTAAAAGCATGTAAAATCTAGGAAAGCAAGAAAAAAATTTTAAACAAACTGCTGGTCAACTGTTTTCATAATCACTAATATTTTCTACATAGTCATCTTAAATTCTATTTCCAATCTTCACTACTTCTATCCTTTAAAAGGCATTAATGGAGTTAGAACAATTCAGAATCAAATACACTAAGAACCAAGTTATATTTCTTAATCAAAAGAAAAAAAAGAGATTCATGTATATTACACTTTCTTGCAGTGTTAATTAAGCCTTGCAACTCAAAGTTACAGGTTAGCTCGCCAGGCTCCTCCATCCGTGGGATTTTCCAGGCAAGAGTACTGGAGTGGGTTGCCATTTCCTTCTCCAGAGGATCTTCCTGACCCAGGGATTGAACCTGGGTCTCCCGCATTGTAGTCAGACACTTTACCACCCAAGCCACCCAAGCCACCAGGGAAGAACCAAAAACAAAAGGCCGCAGTAATTATCAATAAACTGGAGGAATTACCAAATTAAATTTCATGTCAGTAAAATTTTGCAGTATTCCAAAATTCCTGAAAAAAGTGTGTTGTGTCTTTTCCCACTCCCCTGCTATTTTGGGGGCACAATGAAAGAAGAAACCTCATTTGACCCTTTATGCACAGTATGAAGGTCACCCTGAGTAAGAATTCGTTTAGGAATGTACTTTAAGTGTACCTTACTTTCAACATCCTCCCCTAACCCCCAAAGAACTAAGTATTCAAACTTCTATCATTTAAGAGACACTATATAGGTATACTCTTCAACTATAAAAGGCACTTTCTCCACAAAACTCCTCACCTCCTGGTTACTGCTCAACACATTGCAATCTACTTTCCCTCTCTGGAACTCAACTAAAAACACATTATAACAAATAACCAGTGGCCTCTCAATTGCTGAATCCAAAAGACATGTCTAACTGTTAATTTACTCTGCTTTTTGAAAGCATTCAACCCTTTGAGTACTCCCTTCTTCTCTTATTCTTCTCTGATGTCTATGTCTAGTTCCTTTAACAAATCTTATTCCACATGCCTCATAATAGTAGTGTTCCCCAGGCTGACAACCTTGGTTCTCTAAGCTGTTAGTGTGGTTGAACAATACACAAGCAGCAAACATAGTGGAATCAGTCTCTAACTCCATATCCACTAGCCAAAAGCACCCTGAAGACCTGAGGACAGCACATGTCTGATTCTAGAACTCCCTGTGATCCATTGTCTGGCACAAAATAGGAACTTTATAAATATCTGTTGATAAATAACCCACAGGCACCTCAAATTCAATAGCTTCAACACTAAGCCCATCCTTGGCCCCCTCACACATCTGTTCTTTGGTTGGTCACACTACCACCTATCCGATCTTATGGTCCAGATGGAAGGCTCATGGTCACAGTCTTCTCCCTTACTGCTGCTGACACCATTTGGAGTACCAGCCCAACCCAGTCTCCCTCCTAAGAAATGTACCCCCACAAGGGGTGCCTGTATGCAGTATGAACCACCTTCACAGCTGTAGCTGACTAGACCAGAGGCAGAGAGCTAATTAATCAGATCCTCTTTCCCAGGAATCTGAAATTGGGATTCAGAATAATAATTGGCCTTTGTGTCACTAAGGCAAAGGCCATGGAAATTTGGAACTTAGAAACACATTGCAATGTAAGAAATTGATATGCAGGTAACAGAAGAATGAGGCAGTCTAGAAGACCATGATGACAGAGAAACAGAAAGGAAGAAAGGTGTTTTGGTCCCCGAATACTTTCTAGCCCCTGGTTTCTGCCCTTCATGAGACCCTGCTGCATGTCCCGATCTTAGAAGACATTAAATAGCATGAGTTTCTCAAACTCTTGCTTAAGTCACATTAAGAGGGGTTTCCATTAAAGTCAACAGCTTATTATTACTAACTCCTCATTAGTTCCCTGCATGTACCATTCTGTTTCTACCTATATTCCCTACTTTTTCTGAACCAGTTTAATCTTCTCTCCTGAGAATCTAGTATGTACATAGAGACCTGAAAGTTCTTTCTAATATCATTTCAGCAGTTGTGTGAATGATCAGTTGAGGAGGGCAAAAGAGAGTCAAGAAAAATAGGAGGCCATTACCAGCTAATTTAGGGAAAAGGTGACAAGGCCTGAAGTGTCATGGTGGGGACAGAGTGGAGAGATTAGAAACAGGGTTAAGTAGAAAAAAGGCAGGAGTTGGCTGACCACCTAAAGATACAGAGGGAGAGAAGGGAAGCCTAAAATGATGGCAAGTTTCTGGCATAAGCAACAGAATGCATGGCAGAGACATTCAAAAAGACTGGCTGAAGGCACAGATTTGGATAAAATGACCCCATTCAACTTGCTAACACAGTCTAAGTTAACTAGCCATCCAGTAAGTTCAGCACAATCATCGAACTCTCTGTACTCTTTCCTGAACCCCCGGAGCAAGTGTATGCTGCTGCTTCCTCTGAACGCCTATAGCACTTCATCTGTGTCTCTCTCCGGCCAACTCCCTATTGCTGCTGGACTGGTACTACTTGTGTACATGGCTCTACCTGAGAAAATTAGCTCCTTAGAGGCAGGATTGGCAGCTAACATTTTTGGATCATCTACAGTGTCTAGTACTGTGGAAAAAAAATGTATCAAAAGTTGAGTGTGGCCCTTCCGAATTTCTCTATAATTATTAAATATCAATAAGTTGGAATAAATACATCTAAAATAAAAGAGATGTATTTTATTTATTGGGCGTCCTCACCAAATGTAGTATGGTAGGTCAAAAGGAATTCAAGCAAAACTTTCAATTACTTACATGCATTTGCAGGTATTTCAAACCAACATTTACTTATCAATTCAGCCTATCAAGCCATGCTACAATAGACTTTCACTATCACAACTATACAAATAGAAAAATAAACAAAAAAATTCTAAGACCTGGATAAATAAGCTGGCAGAATCTCTTCTCCAGTCTTCTTGCTACAAAAAATCCTACACAGTGTCCCACAAGCCTCAGCTCTTCCTGCTTCATAGTTATCAGGAAATTCACTTGCATCAAACATAGGATTGGAAACCATGGTGTCTGTGGACATTTGTGACCCTTTCCGTCGAAACTCCATGCTAGCTTGTGTTGTAATGGCTGGGGAGAAAAAAGGAGGGTTTTATTATATTTGTTGATATGCAAATAGGCTCATGGGACCCTGGACACAAAGATCAAATGTCGGTGTCATTAAATAGCTACTTGAATAGAATCCAATAATGCTTTTGTTTAGCAACTAGGTCTTAATATTTTTTTAAAAGGGCTCTCTGAAATCTTTGAAAAGGGGAAACAATTAGCTTACAGTGGTACTATCAGTTAACAGATTCAACAAGAAGCATTTTTCAACTGAATTTTTGATTAGCAGAGTACATTTATATATATCTGTATTCACACACATACAGATATATAACACAGAATTTGGCTTTTCTATCTGTTTTTTTCCTCTCCCAATAAAAGTGATGCTTAAACAATAAGAAAAATAGGTGCTGCAATTTACACATTACCCCAGGCAGACATCATAACTGAATGGGTAATCCCATGCCAGGGTGTATACTTTAGGGAGAGGACAAGGTAAGGGCAGAATGGGTAAGGAGGAAGAGAGAGCATTCCCACCACCCACCCAACTCCAAAACACACACCAAAGAATTGCTCAACCAAGCAAAATGAGAATGAATTTTAACAACCACAGACAGCAGCTAACTTGAGGTTGGTAAATCAGAAAATTGGATTGGGTAAGAAAGATTATCATGGTCATTTGTTGTCACTGAAACAGAAGCCCTTCGAAAGTTGCTCATTTTTTAGGAAAAGATTTCATTGTGTATTGAAAGTCACTCTGAAATCTTTTATCACTCTACATGAAATGTTTAAATTATTTTATAGTAATAGATTTAACAGAATGCAGAGTCAAGCATAAATCTTTATGCAACTTCCCATGAGCCATTTTTAGTCCTGAATAAGGTATCCAGCAATAATACATTTGAAAAACACTACATGCAGAATGCATACAAATCAAACACTAAATCTGTATAAAAATAAGCTTAAGCTTTAAATTAAAAAAAAAAAAAAAAAGCCAAAACACAGTTAGTGCAAAATCCTGGAATTCATGACATGACCAGACTAGTGTACAAAAATAATGGGACTGATTCAGGCAGATTAATTTGCTTTTGCCAACAATCTTCCCCATTCAAAACACAGAAAAGTATTTTTCTTCCCAAGTGCAAAAACTACAAGAGACAATGACAATCAAAAATTTTAATGGAATTATGAAAAAAATAAAAACATGACTGCAATTAAGGAGAAGCTTCTGGTTCCTACTTACAAGATTTATAAGAAAGAAGAATTTGGATAAAAGATGCTGCAAGATAATAGAAATAAATGGAAACAAATCAAAGGACAGCAGTAATTATAAAATACTTTAAAGATGGTGAAATTTTACAATAAGTTAAGAAGCTTTTTAGCTTTTTAAAAGTTAGGTTAAAAGCTTTATGATACCACAAGCTAGTTCAAAAACAGGAAATTGTGCATTCAGATCCAAAATTATGATTTTTGTATCATGCAAAACAATGAACGAAGAAAATTACACAACTACAAGGAATTGAGGTTCTGAACTGCCCATTACGTGCATTAAAATTTTAGTTTATTAACCCTTCCCAGCTCAATGTTACATTTACAAAGCACTGTGTACTGTCATGTAAATCTAAAGCTAACTAGTTCATAGAAGCAAACATTTTAAGTTAGAGGTGAACTATATGGCAGAATTCCTTGATGGCAGCCAGTACTTAGAAAACAGACTAACAGAGTTAGTATTCTCCAACTTTCCACCACCCCCAAAACCTCAACAGCAGCACCCAAAAGGACTCTAACCCATTCAACTGTCTGGACACCTCCTATCTCCTGAGTAATACAACAGCTTTTCTCACCCCTGAACACAAGGTCGGAGAAGAAGAGCTGCTATCCTTTCCCCACCAAGGAAAATGGTTAGGAGTTGAAAAGAATTAGTTGCCCACATATGATGCGAATTTTAGTTTCTATCTTTTGGCACGAGAAGATGAGCAAAGCTGTTAAAAACTCCCTATTGAGTGGGAAGATTTTTAAGTTCCCTTTAAGCAAGCCCGCCAAAAAAGCAGCAGGTTGAACCACTCTGGATTCAGGGATTTTTATTGTCAACAGCTTGATACCCAAAAGTTACACTGTAAAAGAATTATATCTTAGTGAAAATAAATATCTGACTGACTCAATCTAGAAAATATAATACAATAAACATAAACATGGGTCATAAAATTCAAAATATAAGGCACATGAACATAAGAAAATATAAGTTTTTTAAGTGTTTTCATTTAGTCATCAAATAAATACATTTACTTATCCATAAGTCAAACTTGTAAATAAAATATGAAATGGTAGAATAAAAGGTATCTGAATTTGAACAAAACAAACAAGGAATCCCTAAACTCAATCATGCAACCTCAAATTATATTCCTGAAAATGCCTTTATATCCACTACTCTTCTAAAAATTATTTAAAGATTTCTAAGAACATTGAGAATAATTACATGTGTATAATGCTAACAGCCATAGACTCTTAGTTCTGAGATGATATATAAAAGAAAAGAATATTTCTGAGAGAAAGCAAGAGACCTTTATGGCTTTTTTATTAGTTTTATCCTTGAAATCAACGCTCCCCAGAGATGCACTGTGTGTGGTAGTCGCTCAGATGGGTCTGACTCTTTGCGACACCATGGACTGTAGCCCACCAGACTCTTTTCTCCATGGAATTCTCCAGGCAAGAATACTAGAGTGGGTTGCCATTCCCTTCTCCAGGGGATCTTCCCAACTCAGAGATAGAACCCGCATCTCCTGCATTGCAGGTATATTCTTTACTGTCTGAGCCACCATGGAAGATGTATAATCTAATGCAATTAGGCATCCTTTTATCTCAAGCTCTTTCCAACCCCAGGGGAAAAGTGCTTTTCTTACCAATCAACCAATATTAATTATATTACTACATAGAGCAGAATTAATGCATAAAGCACAGTGCCTGGTACAAAGTAACCACAGCTCAATAAATGTTACCCATTATTATTATTCAGCTCTATTCATTCAGTAATAAATATTCAATATATTCTACAGGACCCCACCCTCCCATCCTGCACCCTAATGCCACTACTTACAACTATAATGGTAAGATGACATAGATCAGATTTAGATAAGAGTTTCATTCCTGTAATAAAATCTAAATGAAGATATCAAGGTTGAGTTATTAATTCTTTATTAGTTTTAAAAATGATATTTTTTTTAAAATTTGTCCTTGAAATAAACTCTTCTAGACTGAAACCTAAAAGGATAGTCTTCTGTGAAGCAGAAATTTCATTTACATGTAGTAACGAGTGAATGGCTGTCAAAATCTAAGAAAACACTTTTTGTGAATAAACTTCCAGTCAATCATGTTTAACTCTTTATATCAATATTATCCGATTTATATCAGTATTATCCTGGCTGACATGAAGGGAACTTCCAGGTCACCTACTGAAAGGAATCTGATTGAACAAAATGTGGCTAACCTGAAGTGTGTCTAATAAAACCAAACAAAAGCCAAACCTCATAGAATAAACATGAAAAGGACACGTAGGAAAACGTTTAAACCTACTTCAGCTGGAAGGGGTTAAGCACAAGACACTGCTTGGTCAGAGACAGAGAACTTTTTAAGATACATATTAATCTTGCAGGTAGGAAAGATAAAAAAGAAAAAAAAAAAGGAAAGAAAAAAAATGATAACGTATTTCTTGAGCAATATTTACCAGTCATGCTGCTGTCTCTGTTTATCCCATTATGAAGTTTACAGTGAACAAATGCTGCATCAAATAACCATGATCCAAAGAGATTCAAGATGCTGTTAACCTTTGGTCTCCGGGGGGCAGGCAGTGGCCGGGGTTCTGAACTAGTCTGATTTGGACTTGACAGAGGAGAGGTGGAGGATGGCTGATGCTGAACTTTCGAGGTGTGAGCAGTACTAACCTGTTAGAAGAACACAAGAGTCACAAGAAGTCTGCGAAAACAGCAGGACTTTTTAAAAGGATGGCAGATTAAACAGCCAATTTTATACGGTATAATAATGGTGATGAAAAGTCTTACTGTGCTTGTCTTCATGGTGGCCTTATTCACAGTAACAGCCCGGTGCCGCCGGTTATGTGGTGGGGTGGTATTGACAGCAGTGCTCTGAGGCATACTCAATCTATTCACGGGTGTTGGAGGAGCACTGTCTGATCGGGGTCTAGAAATGCCTTTAAAGAAAGACAAAAGGAGTTATTCTTCATAGTTCAAAATATGTGGTCAGCAAATCTGCCTCAAGCAACACTGGTGAAGGCTCAGGACCGACTAGTATAGCAGAGACTACAAGCTGCCTCCCAGTTGCCACCCATCCTTTCTTCCTGAGTTACACAACACAAAACTTAGCTGGACGTGGCTACCCAGAATAAACAATTACATTCTGAAGGCTCCTTTATGGCCAGATGTGGCCATGTTCTGACCATAGAGAAGTGGGTGATTACTGGGTGAGTCTTCTCCAAAAACCTCCTTTTAAGTGTCTTTTAAGGACCAATCAAAGGTAGCTGCTTCTTCCTTCCCAGTTACTAAGAGGATGGCTGGAACTCTTTCGACCATCATGGCCCATGAGAGTGGCCACAAAGGAAGAAGAGCTAGAAGATGGAAGTGCCCTGGGTTTCTGACAATGGTGGAACTGCCATAGCAGCCCTGTACAGCTTAGCCTGGGGCTTAACATGTATGAAAATAAGCTACCCTGTTTAAATCACTGGTATTTTTGACCAAGTGGCAGCCAAATTTAACTGAACTAATGTATTACCTCTGTAATACCTCTGTAATAATATTAAGTACACATAACAAATGTTTTTTAAATGACAGGTATTACATATCAAGGGCTTCCCAGGTGGCACTAAAATCCGCATGCCAATGCAGGAGATGTAAGAGATGCGGGTTTGATCCCTGGGTCAATAAGATCTCCTGGAGGAGGAAATGGCAACCCACTCCACTATTCTTGCCAGGAGAATTCCATAGACAGAAGAGCTTGGCAGGTTACAGTCCATGGGATCGCAAAGAGTTGGACACAACTGAGCATCTGAGTACATTAAATATCACTGCTCTTTAACAGGTCAAAAAAATTCTGACTTTTCATGTGAAAAGCAGTTTAAAACAAGGTTTCACAAAATGTGTAATTTGCTTCCTAATGATTCATATAAGAATGATACCTAACACATTTTAAACTGTATTTTCTAGGATTATTAGTGAAATGACACTTCTTTTGCAAATTATTTATTCATAGCCTTTGTCCACTTATCTACCGGGTCTTATTCTTTTCTCTTTGCATCACCTGATCTACCCAGCATTTATATAATAATAACAAAAACACTCAGGCTATTACATTAGTTGCAAGTAATTTTTCCTAGTTTACTACTTGGCAGTCAAATCTCTTTGTCTTTTTCTTTGGGCTGTCCCCTAATAGCCTCTAAAACCAGACTCTAGAATTATCTTCAAACATCCAGCAACATACACAAAATTCACCTAAGAATGCATCCACCAGACAGCTGATTCCACGCATGGCACGAAAAAATATCTGAGGCAGATGTTTAAGGCAGGGATACTGATTCAATTCTTGTGGCATTCCGCTCACATTTAAGAACTGTTCCTGAAATTTGGGAGTAGAGCTTATAATGGCTGGATTACTCAAATCCACGGGATTACTATCAAAAGAGAGAGCAAGAATTAATTACACATTTAGAAATTTCTTTAGCAATAAAATGCATGCAATCTAAGCTTAAGAACAGGGCTGTGTGTACCTATTTGATTCAGAGAGGAGATGAATCTGTGTTTAATAGGCTAGGGAAGCAAACATCAACTCTACAGAAGACCTGCAGTGTGCTTACATAAACTTCATTTGCCTATTCAGAGAATGAGAACCAAAATAAGACTAGTAATTTTTTATTTTTTAAAAGCATATATGGATATATTGTTATATGTTTGGAATTAAGCAATAGAATGGTAAAATTATAAATAAATGTACAAGAACCTCAAGGAGAAAATTTTACTTTAGTATTAATATTTCCAATTTTTAAAAAACTGTGTGGAAATAAGGATTAGTGCTTACATTCTTGTGCATGCACTCAAGTCATACATCTCGATATATTTAAAACAACATATTTGGGCTTGAGTATTTCCACTGAAAAAAAAAAGATTTATGTTTTCACTCAAAACAGTCCACTTAAGTGTCCATTAAACAGCCTTTCCAACTCAAAGTAATAATGTTAGTTAACGCATAGCCAGCCACTTGGAAAGAACTTCCGCTAGCTACAAGATCAAAAGAATTAGGCTGAGGAATAAAAATCAGTGGTTTATAGAGGACCTGGGTCTTTGAAACCTTTTTCCATCCAGTTAGACTCTTAATTTCAAGTAAATGAAAGTGAGCACAGAGGAATGTGTGTGCCCGTATGGAAAAGGGCTTCAAGTATTAGCATACTGTATCCACAGGACTGTAGTTCACTCAGTGAGGTAGAGGAGAAAAGAAGCCTCTAAGGACTTCCCTGGCAGTGCAGTTGGTTAAGAATCTGCCGTCAGGGCAGGGGATGCAGTTTTAATCCCTGGTTGGGGAACCAAGGTCCTGCGTGCCTCAGGGCCAGAGCAGAGAGCAGCGCACAGGCATACAGCAAAACGGCCGAGAGATGATAGAGCCGCCTATCCCACGGCTGCCCAGATCCTTCCAATCACGAGTACTGAATGTTCACTGCTTCCCGTCGCCCAGTGAGACCTCTTTATCATCACACAATAACCCCCTTTTCACCAGAATTTGTTCAAATTCCTATTCTGTATATCAAAAAAAAAAAGTGACTAAAACATTCTTTCAGCTCAAGAAGGACAGAGTATGAAGAGATCAATTAATAGTGAAGGAGTAGGGGCTTCCCTGGTGGCTGAGTGGTAAAGAATCTGCCTGCAAATGCAGGAAAACACAGGTTCGATCCCTGGTCTAGGAAGATCCTACATACCATGGAACAGCTAAGCCCACACACCACAACTACTGAGCCTGTGCTCCAAAGTCCAGAAATCACAACAACTGAACCCACGCACTGAAAACTACTGAAGCCCACATGCCCTATAGCCTATGCTCCACAAGAGAAGCCATCCCAATGAGAGGCCCATGCAGCGCAACAAAGAACAGCCCCCACTCACTGCAGCTAGAGAAAAGCCCCTGCAGCAACAAAGACGCAGCACAACCAAAAGTAAAGAAATAAACAGCAAAGGAGCAGGAAAAGACTATCTAAGAACTACCACTAAAAAAAAGAACTACCATTAAAAAAGATTCCACTACTACAGTTTTACTGGTGGCATATTTCAAACTCTTAAGGAATATATAACTTTCATACAACAGAGTACAGAAAAAGATAGCAAGTTTCCTAAATTTTTTAAAGTTGCCAAAATATAAATTAGTCAAAAAACAGAAAGAGAGATAATTTGGGAAAATATTAAAAGAACAACATTACATAATCAAGCAGAACTTATCTTTAAAGGATGCAGGATGATTCAACATTGGGGAAAAAAATTAATATACTATCAATAGATAAAAGAAGAAAAGATATTTAATTGCTTAAATGGATCCCAAAATATGACTTGAAAATAATTCAGCATTATTTCCCATTTATATTTTTAAATTTAAAATTCTTTAATTGCCTATGAAATCAAGAACACAAGAAATAGTAACTATCTAATATTAACAACCAACACCCCATTCAAAATTTCAAGGAGTAGAGGCATTCGAATGAAAATCAGAAAAGAGGGATGTCAAAACAGTGTCATTTTAACCCAACAGCGTTGTAGAAATTCTGACCAGTAAAACATACAAAAATTATTGTAACAAAACGGCAACTTTTCAAGCACCTAACACATACCAGATGCACTGTTTCACATTTTCCTCAATTCTTATAACAAGATGGATACTATTATTATCCCCATTTTATAGATTAAAAAGAGACTGAGACTCAGAGAGACTAAACTGCTTGCTCAAGCTCACAAAGGAAAAAGTAGTAGAACATGAATTCATACACAGGTCTTACTGCAACCAAAACACTTTTAATGAATTACCACAGACTCAAGTATAAATTACTAGAAAGGAGACATTTTTTATTTGCAGATATGTGCAAATATATGTGTCCATTATATCTAGAAATCTAAGAAGAATCAGTGAAATACAGCATTTTAAAACCCCAAATATAATATACAAAAGTAAAATAGGTAAAACATCTTCTTTACAGCAGCAATAGCCACTTGCAAGATTTAACAATAGAAAAAAAAGTTAGCCTTTCACAACATCAGCAATAAATATAAAGTAATAATGGCAAAAAAAAATTATGCATATGTACAAAACACTTCCGCAACATATTTACGATTCTTAAAAAGAAAAATACCTACTCTTGAAAGGCAACCACAATATATGAAGATGTCAGCTGCTTCTAAATATAATACAAGCTAATACAATTCTCATCTTTGGCAGAGATGAGAATTGCTTAGCTGTTTGGTAATTTCTCTTTTCCTCCTATGCTCTCTTGTAATTTAATGTGGCATATGTGAGTTCCAGCCAAAGGAATATAGGTAGCAGTGATTTCACATCAATGTAGGAGCCGGTCCATAAAACTTTCTACATAATTTTCCTTGCTTTCTCTTTTCCATCTTCTAGCCAGATACAGAGGCTTCTGCCTACAGAGTTAATGCCCTGATAAAGCCCCATGTTGAAGATGGTGGAGTCTTTGCCAGCCTGAGGCCCTGAACAATTACCTAAGCAAAGTTGCTCCTTACCCAAGGCTTTTATGAAACATATTGTACTACGCCGCTAAGATTTTCAGGTTCATCTGCTAAAGCAGGACACGTTCCTTACCCTAATATATACTCCAAACCCCAACAGATTTTGTGAGGTTCTTCTCTTCACATGTGCTTTATAACATGTCAAATGGATTATAAAATTCATCTAAAATGTTAAACAGGCAAGAGGGATTCTTAAAAATATTCTAAGAAGTGGAAAAAGGGAAAAGTTGTTAGTTCTATGAAATACCAATAACTATCTATAGAAAGTTAAAGTAATTAAGTGTGACTCTCCTATAAGAATGAATGAAAAAATCAATGGAATAATATGCAACCCAAAGACAAAACCCATACATATAAATGAACTTAATGGCAAAAAGGAAACAAAGTCAGAAGCAGTGAGTGAGTACAGGTGAGTATCTACCTGATCAAAGTACACAAAAGACTTTCTAATCTTAAAGGAAACAGAAAATGGTCACAGAAAAAGGTAGATGTAAAAAAATAAACTAAAATCACTGAAAGATGAAAAACAAACTACAAACTGAAAAACAAAATGATAGAAAATAGTTAAGATCCCTAATTTATAAACAGGTCATACAGAGTAATTCAGAATCACTAATATACAAACAGAAAAATGAGGCTCATCAAACCAGAAAGAAAAGAAATGCAAGGAAAAAGTTTATGAATCAAGACAGCACACAACAGAATTAAAGTTCCACAGAGCACAAAGAAGGGGCTAGAAGAGAAAATGGTAGGAAGCAATGAAATTGAATTGAAAACAATATCATAAGAAAGAAAGAGCATGACGTATTATCACTTTTAGCAATTTGTTCCTCTGTGAGATTTTATACTGTTCCCTTAGTGGAATTTTAAACAAGGCTACCAGAGAAAAGGCCCTGAGAATAAGACTCATCAGTCAGCGCTGGTCACAGAGAGGAACAAGGTAGTCTTCAGCCCCCACAGCATGTGACAGAGTCCTGGAAGAGAGGCTGTCACAGAGGCAGCAGCAACAGGCCAGAGAACAAATGCTGCACCTACCGCAGGGAACAAGCCCCTAGAGAGTGCAGCCCAAGAGCAGCTGCGGAGAGCCTGATCCTGCCAGGATGGAAGGGGCACGTGACGCAGATGAGTGTACTGTCCAGTTTGGCTCCATCTGACCCCTGGGCTTAGCAGCCACACTGTGAACTCCAACAAGGAGTTATAGTACGGTTCCTGCCTAAGACATTTAGTGGGTAAGGACACATTTGAAATACAACAAGGGTACCTTAACATATGTAAAAAGCGAAACCATGTCTGTGCAACACACTCGTTATCCATTTCAGGAGGGATCAGACTGGCATCTTCATCGGGAACTTTAAATGGAGGAAATGAAGGACCATATGTAAAGCGTAGCAATCTGGAAAATTAAAAAAAAAAAATCACACCACTAAGTTCATTTTAACAGAACTGAAGATACATTCAAGCATTAAAATATAGTAAGATAAATATGATAGGACAAAATAGATGAAACTTGTATTATACCTCACTGAGGCGAGTAAAATAAATGAAAACCATTTTATAAAATAAACTGGAAGAGGACTTTCAGTTTTGTAAAAATTATTTTAAAATATTTACTGCTTTATTTAAATAATTAATATTTATAATTTAGTTCATACATTTGTTATATGATTTATATTATAAATTTGTTACTTATAAAATTATTTCTTTATAACTTATTAATTGTAAGTTTATTTTACTTATATGATTTCATTATAATTATAAAATGATAAGTGATTTTATAAATATTGCCTCTCATAAATTTTAATATATCTTATTATATATAACATAGTATGTAATATACAATACTGTATATAACACTTATACAGAATATAATTTTATAATGTATACTATAAATTTCAAATTACATAATTTTATAAAATTACAAATTATTTAAAATTTTAATTTGTAACTGCAAATAACAAATAAATCATTTAATCATGCACAATTACATTTATGTTGATTATATAGTCATACAAAATAAATTCTTTTTAAAAGATTCATCACACTGCAAATGCCTTCAACATAACTAATTTATTATAATTTATTCATAACAACTGCAACATAACTTTACATGAAGTTTAGAATTTATGGTATGTGTCCCATAAATTGAATTTGACAATTCAATTACTTAACTAAATACTCATATTCCAAATGTATTAAAACTGTTCAAAGCCCTTTGACTTAATTATTAATCTATTATACTCAGAATAGATTATGATCTACTATAGCTAATTTAAATATATCTTAATAAAATAACCAGAATACATACAAAGACTAAGTGTAAAGTACTCACAAATCAACAATATATATATTTTTTTACTTTTATATCCTTCTTTATTTAGCTTTCTTTGTTTTGTTTTTTTTCTGCCCCACTGAGTGACTCATGGGATCTTAATTTTCTGACCATGGACTGAACCCAGGCCCTTGACAGTGAGGGTACAGAGTCCTAACAACTGGCTACTGCTGCTACTGCTAAGTCGCTTCAGTTGTGTCTGACTCTGTGTGATCCCACAGACAGCAGCCCACCAGGCTCCCCCATCCCTGGGATTCTCCAGGCAAGAACACTGGAGTGGGTTGCCATTTCCTTCTCCAATGCATGAAAGTGAAAAGTGAAAATGAAGTCACTTAGTCATGTCCAACTCTCAGCGACCCCATGGACTGCAGCCCACCAGGCTCCTCCGTCCATGGGACTCTCCAGGCAAGAGTACGGGAGTGGGTTGCCATTGCCTTCTCCACTAGACCACCAGGGAATTCCCAACAATAGTTTTAAAAAGGAAAACACAGAGAACAATTTAAATATCAAAACAGCAGAGAAACTATTAAATGAATTATAATTCCATTTATATAATAAAAAACTATAAAGCCATTTAAAATAGGATCTTGAGATCTATGTAAGAAAAAAGGTGCATGTAATCACTGTGACAAGAATCAGACATCAAGTTAAAAAACAGCAGGTAACACTATATAGAATAATCTCGAACTGATTTTTTTAAAAAGATAGAAAAAAATATATTCAAAGATTGTTTATTTTTAAGTGATGAATATTCCCCCTTATGTCTTCCAAATTTTCCATAATAAGCATGTATTGCACTTTTATAATCAAGATAAAGGATGTATTATTTAAAAATAGATTCATAATAGTGACATTCATAAAGATATACCAGAATAAACAAAAATTCATCTTAGTTTAAATGATGATAAAGATATATATGTTAACTCATAAAAAGACCAATCTATCTTCTGATACCTAATACCATCTATAAATTATCTGTTCCCACCTCCACCACTAACCCTCCCATTAAGTCTAAATCAGAGTAAGCCTCCAGTCTCCTGTCAGATTAACCACCAGCTGACAGGAAATATAAGGGACAGAGGAACATATTAATTAACACAACTAGGACATAATCTGAAAAATCCAGAATGTGAAGCATTCAATAAGACAAACCAACCCAGTTCAACAACAAAAAAAAACGTGCAAGGAAATTAAAATGAGAGAGCAGGAACCTACAGTTTAAAATAGGCTTAAGAAATATGTCAACTAAATACAATGTCCAAACCTTGTCTGTGTTCTGATTCAATGGAATCAAGTATTTTCCCCCCCAAACACCACCGGCCCCAGCGCCCCCCACAAAAAAAGAGGCTCAATGGAATCAAGTATTTTAAAAAGTTGAGACATTCAGGAACATCTCAACACTCAACAGCTTATCAATATTAGAAAACTGTTAATGTTTTGTTCATGTGTGATAATGGTATTGTGATCATGTTTAAAAAAGAATGCTCAGCATATATTACAAAAAATGAAAAAAAAAAAAGTCTGAAAAAAATGAAGCCTAACGGTTTACTCACAGAATAGTGATGATATTATATACAAATGGCTAAAAAATACCCAAAAAACAAAATCATTATTATAAAAAACTGCCTACTTTGGTTACAGACGAGAACATTATAGTATGATCCTATTTCTGTAAAATTACATATAATAAGATTTCTGGTGAACTTAACTCTTTCCGTTATAACTTTCTTTGGCTTATTTTTTTTTAACAATGATCTTAAACATTTTGGATTTCTCTGGTGGCTCAGACCATAGCGCGTCTGTCTACAACGCGGGAGACCTGGGTTCAATCCCTGGGTCAGGAAGATCCCCTGAAGAAGGAAATGGCAACCCACTCCAGTATTCTTGCCTGGAAAAATCCCACAGATGGAGGAACCTGGTAGGCTACAGCACTGGGGGGTCACAAAGAGTCAGACACAACTGAGCGACTTCACTTTCACTTTCTTTCTAAACATTTTAATAATTAGAATTAGAGTGGGATTTGGGGGGTGGGAATAGTAGGGCTCAGAATTCATCTACCTCTCCAAAATACTTTCTCAATCTAAAAGGTTTTACATTAGACAGGTACTAGGCCAACTGCTACATCTATTTTTAAAAGTTGATTGATTCTATTAACTAAAGTGTAATAATAAGAGACACAGAATAGAGGTTTTTACCATGTACTCCATAAATCCCAGAGAGACACAGAATTAGGGGAAGGCTGCCTATGGCCAGACAGATGAAAGAAGGCAAGTTGATGACGGTAACTTACCTTGAAGTGAGCGCACAGATGACCTTGCTCCACTGCTCCACCACTGCTGGGTGGTGCCTCCAGTTAGCCACCATCTCCTTGGCTGTTTTCCAGTAAGGAGGTGTTGGGAAGCACCGCGTACATGCTAGTAACCAAACCTCAAAGAGAACACCAATCAACTTCTCTGCTAGATTCTCAGCAATGCCACCTTACCAACAAAAAGAAAACATCTTTGGCATACTTATTTGTAAAGCAGAATCTTTAACTCACTGATTTGGGAGAACTGGTCAAAAAATTAAAATAACTGCAATGTTAAGTTTTGACTTTCAAATAATCACTTAATAGTAAGAACAAAAAACTACTCTAAGGAGCTCTTATGAAGGAAATCATGAACACATCAACCCATTATCATGTGGGAAGTTTTCAAGTGGCCCTGCTGGGTTCTCATGGAAGCTCTTAACCTTCCAGTAGTGAGACAGGAGCACACACGGAAGAAGGGAAAGGATGAGTGCCTACAATGAACAAGTGCTATTAGTCAGTGTCTGTGCCACACAGCTCATACACGTGACCGCACATTCATTCTGCAGGGTAGGTTTTTATATCAATAATATCTATTACCAATTATCAACTATATCCATTTTGAAGATGAGAAAACAGGTTCTGGAAATTTAAGTAACTTGCCCAAGTTCACACAGCCAATAAGAAAAGGAATCAGAACAAATACCTGAGACTTCCTACCTTCACACTTTGCTATGAAATGCTTCATGTGTTTGAAAGCCACCCTTCAAGGCAGAGGGAGACAAGGAAGGGAGCCAAAGGTCTGGTTCTGGCAGGACAAAGCCTCAACCATGAAAACAGAGCTGCTGCTCGGCTCCAGTCTGGGAACCAAGGAGAACAGCGGCGGACTGTACTCTGCCTGGCCATAGAAGGCAAACTGGATTCCCATACAGAATGAAAAGTTCTAAGGATTTCAAATGAGCAAAAACGAAGTTTCAACAATAATAAGCTCCAGAAGGGGATGCATGGCTTGACTTATGGTGCTGAATCCCTGGCATGGGGACTGTTTAAGAGAGAGGCACATTACCTGTCTGGCTAGCTCATCGCCAATCCCAGACAGGGTATTTCTATTATGGAGTCCCTTTCAAGACACTAAAATTCTTCCTGGACACTGCATTTATGTGAAAGCACAAGCACACTCACATGTGTCAGTAAAAAGAATACACAGATGAATAAGCAACAGGAGAATTTGGAACTAGAATTATCAACTTATTGTCTGTGTATACTGTGCTATATTATACAAAGCAAGACATCTTAAAATACATTCTAAACTCATAAAACTGAAGGCTTTTTGATAGCTAGGTAATGAATGACATACTTGTCATACTTCCAAATAGAATACTTTTAAGATTTTCTAGGTTTCATTTGCTAAACAAAATAATCTTCTGCAGCCATCGAGTTTTCAGTCTACCTGGATAACTATTTTGTAATCAGGTACATTAGTTGTTTCTTAAATAGGCTCTGTCCTAATACAATGAACAAGCTACTGTTACTGTCATTATCAAACATGTATTAATTCACTGAGTCTCTCCTCATATTGGTTTGTCAACTATAGTGCCAAATTTTAAATCTTGACTGAGTCTACTACTCATTGAGTCTAAAAGTAAACTGTGGAGCTCAGCAATAAATCAGAAAAAATAATTAACAAACCTTGAACAGTTGGTGGCGCTAGAAGTATGTCATTAATCTGCAGAAGAAACAACAGTAAGACTTCCCAGGTTTCTCGGGCCATAATGGATGATTCACGGGCCAGTTTTTGAATGGCTCTCAGGACCTGTAAGCATAGTCGGATCTGACTGGAGCCCTGTTCCTGTCTAAAGAAGACAGATCAGACATCACTGACAAGCTTAAGGACAGAATACAACCGTTATAGACAGGCAACTCCCTAAGAGCACCAGCAGACAGAACTAGGCGCACCCTCTTCAGTTCAAAGCTACTTCGTCCCCATGCAATCTGGCATTCTGGGATCTAAACCTACCACTCCTAAAGAGCTTGAAAAGCTCCCAGGGAGAGGGAGGATACTAGAAAGTAGACTTCACCTCTGGGTTTTCTAAGTCTGAAATGTGCCTGGCACATACGACAGATACTCCATAGGTTTCTGCTGAATGAATGAGTAAATACTCACAGCCACTTCTGCTGCTCACACAACAGAATGCCTTTGTATTCTTTCAAAAAATTTTAAACATATGTTCACAAGAATTCAGCATGAATTTCATAATGCTCACAATCCATTTGAAGTTCATGTCTGCTAGAGAAGAGCCTAAAAAATGAAATATCCTAACAGGTCCCCAAAACTGATGGGATGTAGAGACAACTTCCTCAGAAATAAGCACCTGCTAACTGCGGGTCTACTAAAAAAAGGCAACTTAACCCAAAGCTACCCAAGATACTCCCAAAGAAGTTTTATAACTCTCTTTAGTTCACAACACCATTTTTCTCCAACAGTATTATTACATCAGTGTATCAGGGCTAGGGTTGAGGAGGAAGATAAAAGTACAAGTCCCAGCCCGTATCCCCACTGTCCAACATGGATCACCTTAAGATTTTCAAGAATCATAGTAAACCTACTGCATTGGCAAATAGTGAATTGGCTTCCAGAGTTCCCATGAGAAAACCAAGGCAAGTAACTAATATTACTGAAATAAATCTTGAGGGCAAGTTTCTACATGACTCATGTCACAAAGAATTAATAAAACATGTCTCTATCAGAGGAGGGAATCTGAGAGCCTCCTCGAGAAATCCAGACAATGAAGTGAGTGCTCTTAGAACTTCCATCACAACCTCAGGATAAAGATTCTCAGATTCTGGGCCATGACCCATAAAACCAAACACTTACACTAGAGCTGCAAGAAAACAACCTAACCCTAAGTTCCCCCTAAAAAGCCAGACCTAAAGTGAAATGATGAGACATTCACCTAGGAAAAGACAAGAGTCCCCAAGAACAGGGAGATGTCCCACGTTCAGTTTGAGGTGAATCCGGACCATGGGAAGCCAAGAAGCTCAAGCTTGTGTCTGCTGGTCTGCTACTAAGCAAGAGTAAGAAATATACAACAGCCCCAAACCTCACGTAGCCATATAAGAGGAAGCCCAGAATAAGAAATAAAAATAGCACTAGTGGTCCTGGAGGCGACACTCTTACAAGCTAGCAATAACACTACAAACTTCCCAAATGGTAACCCAGGCTTACCTACCATTCCTAGTACTACCTGCCTAGTGCAGAAAAGGAAACATCTGCTTCTTAGGTACTGTGGCATCACTCAGACAGCCTAAATTCAAGAGCAGTGTCCAAGTTTCTACAGCTAAGAGAAACAAGGTAATCTTTACTGAATAAGAAATAGAAAGGTCGAAAACACTCTTTTCGACCTAAAGGAGGAAAATGTACTTTTCCCCCTAATATTTCCAAAAGCAACTTGTGAACTTTAGGAAAACTATTCTAGAACATGAGCTGGTGAACTATGTATGGCCTGTGGGTCAAATCTGGCCTGTCATCTATTTTTGTAAAAAAACTTTATAGGAACACAACCATGCTCATTTATTTATATATCGTCTATGGCTGCTTCTCTGTATCAGCAGAGTTGAATAGTTGTGACAGACACTACGGTATGGCCCACAAAGCCTAAAATATTTACTGTACGCCTCTTTACAAAAAAAGTTTGCCACTGCTTTAGAAGAATGTCATACTTTCTAAAGTACAGTGTATTCGAGCAATGAAGACCCTAATCAGTTTTAAATGATGGGTCACTCTTCACTCAGCTATGTGCTCCCCCAAATCAAACTGATAGGCAAAAGAGAAAGGCTACATCCATTCTGACCTAATCTTTAGGAAAGTGGTAGAGGCTGTTTCCTCTATTTTGAGTGTTAGTTTTCATAAAAACAATTACTTCAGTAAACTTGATTTTGTGACTATTTGACTCAAAAAACAAAAACAAAAAACTCCCAATAACAGGAGATAAGATCATAACTCCCAATATTTAGCACTGAAAATATTTAGCTCCCTAAGATACAATTAGCCAGGAGAACTCTAATACTCAGTTCAGCACCCTCTCAGAATTATGCACACTTTTGGGAAAACAAGCTAATTACCAAACAGTAAAATGAACCATTTATATGGTAGTCATGCTTCTTAAAAGAGAAAAGCAAAAGCCTAATTAATATAAATGCAACTGATTTTTCTCATCAATAAAATTAACTGAGCACTGAGAGTTGGTAAGAGTACAAAGAGGAGACAATACCACCCAGGAAACTCTCCCATTTACTAAGAAAGAGCCTAGTAAGTTAGTCTCCTAAATGGGATAATAAGAAAGCATTAAAAGTATTATCATTTTAGAAGAACCTGCTTAGTTACAAACAATATGTCTTCCTACCACTTACTTGTCACCATTTCCTGTTATAACTTCTATTTGAAATCAATACATACAAACAACCAGCATTTAATTCACCCAAATGTAACCTAGACAGTGTATTAAAAAGCAGAGACATCACTTTGCCAACAAAGGTCCAAACAGTCAAAGCTATGGTTTATCCAGTAGTTATGTACAGGCTTGGATCATAAAGAAAGCTAAGCACCAAAGAACTGATGCACATGAACTGTGGTGTTGGAGAAGATTCTTGAAATTCCTTTGGACAGCAAGGAGATCAAACCAGTCAATCCTAAAGGAAATCAATTCCGAACATTCATTGGAAGGACTGAGGCTGAAGTTCCAATACTTTGGCCACCTGATGTGAAGAGCCGACTCACTGGAGAAGACCCTGAACCTGGAAAAGATTGAGGGTAGGAGGAGAAGGGAGTGGCAGAGGATGAGATGGTTGCATGACATCACCGACTCAATGGACATGAGTTTGAGCAAGTTCTAGGAGATGGTGAAGGACAAGGAAGCCTGGCGCGCTGCAGTTCACAAGGTCGCAATGAGCTGGACATGACTGAGTGAAGTGGAACTGGGTGGCTGGTGACGCGGGCGATAAGGTTAAGGGGTTAACAGGCATACCTCAATGTACTGCACTTCATTTTATTGCACTTCACCAATATTGTGGGTTTTTTTACAAACTGAAGACTTGTAGCAACCCTACATTGACTGAACAGGTCTATATGTGCCATTTTCCCCACTGCATCATTCACTTTGTGTCTCTATGCCACATTTTGGTAATTCTCAAAATATTTTCATTATTACTATATCTTTACAGTGATTTGATTATCAGTGATCTTTGATGTTACTACTGTAATTATTTTGCAGCACCACAAACAATGCCCATATAAGATGTCAAACTTCACTGATAAATGTGTCCTGACTGCTCCACCAACCAGCCATTTTCCTGTCTTCTCTTTCTCCTCAGGCCTCCCTATTCCCTGAGACACAGCAATATTGAAATTAGGCCATTTAATAACCCTACAATGCCTCTAAGTGTTCAAGTGAAAGGAAGAATCATGTCTCTCACTTTAAATCAAAAACTAGAAATAACAAGTACCTACTGTAGTAGCACAGGGAACCACAGTCAGTATCCTGTAATAACCGATAATGGAAAAGAATCTGAGAAAGCATATGTGTGTGTGCATGCACGCACACAAAACTGAATCACTGTGTTGTATAACAAAACCTAACACAGCACTGGAGAGCGGTAGAAATGACTAAGCTTCGTGAGGAAAGCAGGTCAAAAGCCAAGACAGGCTAGAAGCCAGGCCTCCTGCATCAGTAAGCCAAATTGTGAATGCAAAGGAAAAGCTTTTGAAGGGAAATTAAAAGTGCTACTCCAATGAACACACAAATGATAAGAAGAAACAGCCTTATTACTGATGTGAAGAAAGTTTTAGTGTCTGGATAGAAGATCAAACAAACCACAACATTCCCTTAAGCCAAAGCCTAACCCACAGCAAGGCCCTAACTCTCTTCAATTCTGTGAAGGCTGAGAATGGTGAGAAAGCTGCAGAAGGAAAAGTCTGAAGTCAGCAGAGGTTGGTTCATGAGGTTGAAGCAAAGAAGCTGTAGTCATAAAAAAAAAAAAAAAGGTGTACATGCGGGGCGGGGGGCAGCAGCAAGATGAAGCAGCAAGTGCTAATGTAAAAGCTACAGCAAGTTCTCCAGAAGATCTAGCCAAGATAATTAAGGAAGATGAAAGTAGCCAAACTAAACAACAGAATTTCAGTGGAGACAAAACAGCCTACAGGCTTCTATTGGAAGAAGATGCCGTCTAAGTAGACTTTCATAGCTAGAGAGAACTCCTGGCTTCAAAAATGTAAAGGACAGGCTGACTCTCTTAATAGGGGCTAATGCAGCTAGTGGCTTCAAGTTGAAGCCAATGCTCATTTACCATTCTGAAAATCCTAGGATCCCTAAGAATTATGCTAAATCTACTCTGCCTGTGCTATATAAACGACAATAAAGCCTAGATGACAGCACACTGATTTATAATACGGTTTACTAGATATTTTAAGCCCACTGTTGAGACCTACTACTCAGAAAAAAAGATGCCTTTTAAAATACTACTGCTCATTTACAAAGCACTTGGTCATCCAAGAGCTCTGATGGATGTGGACAAGGAATGTCGCCTGCCATTTCAGTAAACAACGTTGTGGCCATAAAGCCACCAGTCACTACAGCCACCCCCTACAGTACACCCTAGGGGAATTCAGGACAGAGGAAAACAAAATACTGGGCCTACACAGTTCAGACGGATATCAAAGGAATAATTTCAGTAAGCTCAAACTCTTGCATCTTCCTATACAAAGAAAGGCACTAAAATCATTAACTTGAGATGTCTTTTTTTTTTTGATTAGCAGTAATTTTTCATGTTCTGCTACACAGCTTTTTTTTTTCCTCCCAGCAAAACTCCTATATACCCTTGCTCCTTCCTTACCTCTTTGGAACACTCCCTCTGAGCATCTGAGAGGCGATATCCAGGTTATAGTTTTCAGTAAGTCCAATGAACAAAATGTAATTCTCAACTTTTAGGCTGTGCATTTTTTTTCAGTCAACACTGAAATGTACAATGAGATAAATGTTGCCTGCTAACCTACCATTCATTCTGCTGCCCATGGATGAAGGAGTATTTTCAACTTTCAAGTCTTATTATTTAAAAAACACATTGGGTAAGACTATAGCTGCCATAGACATTGATTCCTCTAATGGATATTTCCAATTTCAAGTAGAAATTGAAAACTCTGTGGAAAAGATTTACTATTCTAAATGGCATTAAGAACATTTATGATTCATGGGAAAAGGTCAAAATATCAACATTAATAAGAGTCTGGAAGAAGCCGATTCCAATCCTCATGGGGCTTAAGACTTCAGCGGAGGAAGTGAATGCAGATGTGGTAGAAATAACAAGAGAACTAAAATTAGAAGTGGAACCTGAAGATGGGGCTGAATTACTGCAATCTCATGATAAAACTTTCAGGGATGAGGAGCTTGCCTCTTATAGATAAGCAAAGAAAGTGGTTTCTTAAGACGGAATCTACTCCTGGTGTAGATGCTGTGCACATTATTGAAATGAAAACAAACTAGATTTAGAATATTGCATAAACTTAGTTGATAAAGCAGCAGCAGGCTTTGACAGGATTAACTTTAATTTTGAAAGAACCTCTACTGTACGCAAAATGCTATCAAATAGCACTGCATGTTACAGAGAAATCATTCATGAACTGATGAGTCAATCAACGTGGCAAATGTCACTGTTGTCTTATTTTAAGAAACTGCCACATCCACTCAACCTGATCAGTCAGCAGCCATCAATATCAAGGCAAGACCCTCCACCATCAAAAAGATTACAGTTCACTAAAGGCTCAGCTGATAGTTAGCACTTTTTAGCAATGCCAGCATTTTAAAATTAAAACATGTACTTTTTTTTTTAGACATAATGCTATTGCACACTTATAGTTAACAGTATAGTATAAACATAACTTTTCTATGCACCGGGAAACCAAAAAATTTATTTCAATGTTCTCTTTACTGCAGCATCCTGGAACCAAACCAACAATATCTTGAGGTATGTTTGCACACTTGATCCTATAGATCACAGCACATAATGAAGATTCTCTTTCTTAATTCAGATTTTCCAAAGCAATCTTCCTTCTAAATTTAAAAAGCTAAAATTTACAGAGCTGGTTTTTGGATGATTCATAGTCCCTCATCATCTGACAGACCAAAAGTCCTAACCAGAACTTTTCCAGAAGGATGGACGTCAGCTCTCTTGACCCTTCCACAGACATTTTCAAAAAAGAAAACACACACACACACATACACACACATAGATGAAAACAGGTTTTTCTCAAAGGAAATCCCTACAAATGGGTAGGCAACTAATGTTTTCCTCTCCATTTTCTATTATTTTCAAAATCCTTTAAAATGACATATAATGTTTTAGACATAAGTAAGGCAACCGTACATTACAATATTTAAGGTCTCTGTCACAGAAGGTAGGAGAAAAACTCAGTAACAAATTGTCAAAAGTATTCTTTTGGTCTACTACAAATTTGCCCATAATTTCAAATCTGCTTGCTTCTATATCTTCATTCTCTCCTAAGATTCATTTTAAGGTATAGGGCTTAGTTATCCTTTAGTTTAAGTTTAGATAAGAATTATGTTAGGCAAAAGTAGGGTTTTTTGACTGTAAGGGAAAGAGGTCACAGTATTTTCATACCTAATAGCTATCAGATCTTAGAAGCAAAGCCAAAAGCTATTAAAATGAAAACACACAGTTAAAGAGTCCTAGAAAACATTATATAAGCCCATCTCTCTCATTCATATTAACACATTTTTAAACTGAAAAAAACATGAAAATTACTGTTCAAAGGACTAACAATGAAATCAGTTCCTATAACATAAAAAAGTAACAATGATGAATATTTTAATATGATCTGGATAATGGCCAGATAGGCTAGTATAGCTTACCTTGGTACAAAAAGATTTTGCAGGTGTTTTAGTATACTTTGAACATATAGATTAGGCTCTTTAATAACTGGCAAAGGAATAGAATCTTTCGGTAACACTAAAGCCATAATCCAGTCGGTATATACATCAACACAGTATTTTACAGTCTCTCCATCCAATGGAAGAGTCAGTCCATAGCAAATTACTTCCATGGTCCATTTTACCTAAACAGAAGAAAATATAGATATAGAATTATTACACATCCCTCCCTGTTTATCAGTAGACTGATTTAAAATGTTAACTTCTTAAAAAAAAAAAATGTTAACTTCTTATTACCAAAAACCTCTCAATTGAAGTATATTCATCTCAACACATATCAGATTAATTTTAGAAAATGTACCTCCCATGTATAAGACATACTCAAGACAACACTTTCTAAGCAAAAGATTTAAGAAAAAAAATTATGTACTTATTTATAATTATCAAGCCTACACTGGCTTTCACCCCTTAGACATTATTATTGTTTGCTCTGTAAAATAAAAAGTACAGGTCATCTTGGCTTTCCACAGAGATTAGATGCACAGAAATAGAAAATTTTAGATATTTTCCTCCACTTAATTTGCATGTGGGTATGTGCCATTTAGGAAATCATTTACATAAATTTAATCATATTCCATTTTCAGATTATGCAACTTTAACAAACAACAGGAAGGAAGATGAACTGTCCAACTCTTACTGTGTGACTATTTTCATCTGGCAAAGAAAATAATATTTTAAATGGAAGGGCAAGATCAAACACAGGTCAGAAGGGACTGAAGGTGGGTAACACCTTAAAAAGGCACTTAGCTACACTAAATGACTTCCAGCCTCCTGACCTGTCTGAATCATAGGGGCTGAGAGAAATTGTCTAAGAGAGTGCTGAACCACTGCCAGCAATCATGAATGAATAAGGTACAATGAGAAGGAGGAAATGGTCCAACTTGCAAAAGAAGATAAAATTATATTCCAGATAATGTAGACTGGAAAGTTTAAGTGAATTCCAGACAAAACTCTGGGACAAATTACTAAGCAGATGATCAGTGAGTACTTATAAAAGGGAAGAAGGGTCAGTGGGAACTAGCCTGCTCAAAAAGAATAAGTCATGCCAGACAAGCTTCATTCCTCTATTAAGAGGGTTACTATGAAGGCAGCTGGTACAAAGCTGGTACTGATTTAAAATCAGTTTCCGAGGCACTATCATAAATATTATCTAACCATCAGAATAACCCATGTGAGAGGGTAAACTATCCTCATTTTAGACATAAGAAAACTGAAGTTTAGCAAATTAAGCTATTTGGCCCAAAGCATCTGCTTCAAAATGCTGGAGCTGAAAACTAGATCCCTGACCTAGAAATCTAAAGCTATTCTCACCATGCCATTAACAGCCTTCTCCAGCAAAGGGGGATTTGGGCTTTAAGAAATTTGGTCCTTGTGCCCAAGATGGAGACAACAGAGAGTCCAGAAGAAGGTAGAATAGCTGGATTTGTAACTGGTCAAAATAACGTGGGAGACTAGCAGTGGATTACTGTAACAAGATCATTTTGGAAGAAGATGCCCAATGGCATGCCAAAGGCTCTGCCAAGATTTTAACTTAGAGAAAATCAGATTACATGCTGACCATGTGCAGAAATCACAAAACTAAAAAAATAACTAACCTATAAAACAGAAATTCAGGATTCACAAAGATTTCAGCAGTTTAAACTAAAGCTGAATTTGACAAGATAAATACCTGTACTGAAATTTTTAAGCTTAGAACAAAACTACAAAGGTCATAGGTAGAAAATATGTAACAACAGTATAATAGAAAATAACATGCCACAGCAATTAATGTTAAAAGCAACTATAACAACACTGTGAGGCTATCACAAATGAGGTGGGGAGGGGTGCAGAGCGGGATTAAGCTGAACAAGAGAAAGAATTTTAAAAGAGGCTGCCAAGTTCCTAATTATCAGAGGAAAGACCAAGGAGAAGGTATACCTTTGGTGATATCTTCACACAATAGTTCACTTACGTAATTTGAGAGGACACTGGATTTAAGAACTATTATTATCTCTTATTCTTTTGAGGGTAGAAAGGGCTGCACTGAACACCACCACCTAATCGCATGCCATCTCTTCCCAGGAGAAGGCAGCAAGGAATTACAGATACACCAAGAAGAGAGAGCGCCAGGGCAAGTGCTACTCCTCAGGGTAGGTCTCTGCCAGGGCACTCTAAGAAAAGGCTCTTCAGCAATGAAGGGCTTCCCCTTTGGTAATCCATGGCCTACAGAGGGTAAATAAACTGCCTCCTGAGCTATAATCTTCAGTCTATCTAGAGTGGTCTTATACCTGGATTAAGTCTAATCTCTCCCTCAGGAGAAATCAGAACTTAAGTGAAAAGGGACAGGCAGGTTAAGTCCAACTTAAAGCAACTTAACTTTAATGTCAGTCCCCTGAACCCAAGAACAGAGGACCAGCTCCAGGCCAAGCCACTTCAAAAACTCCTCATCTTTAAGGACAGCAAACATAAACCGCATTCCAACCACTTGGGCTCACAGCCATACAGACAGAACTAGACAGAACTGCTCTGCAGTACTCTCAAACTTACAGGTCAGGATGGAGACAGCGAGAGAGCCTCAGGCTCAATGCACATGGGTAGCCTGAAAACCACACAAGACAGGCCTTTGATCAGAGGCCTTTTAGAGGTAAAAACGAAGATCTTCCAAACACAACCTGTGAACAGAAATCTGAAGACTGAGCCTAGAACTTGGGGACACAGGCCTGACATCCTGACATCCAAGTCTGCTCAGCACACAGCTCAAGTGGAGAAGGAGAACTGGGTCCAGCTAGCAGAAGTTCCAACAGCACAATGGTACAATCTATTCCATGAACAAACTCTGAGCTCTAACCCGCAACCCAATTAAGGTCAAACTAAGAAGTCACACTCCACTGAGCAGAAATCCATTTTAAAAGTGTGTGTTAGTTGCTCAGCTGTGTCTAACTCTTTGCAACTCTATGGACTGTAGCCTGCCAGGCTCCTCTGTCCATAGGATTCTCCAGGCAAGAATACTAAAGTGGGTTGCCATTCCCTCCTGCAGGGGATCTTCCCGACCCAGGGACTGAACCTGGGTCTCCTGCATTGCAGGCACATTCTTCACTGTCTGAACCACCAGGGAAGCCTATAAAATGTTAAATAAATTATGCAGTAACAGACATATTTTCACATAGTAGAATGAAATGAAGAAACACTTACTTCTTTGTCAGTTTTTAACAAACTCTCACTCCCAGCCACTGAAGGGGCACCTAAGGCCTGCCCAAGAGGATGCACCACCGCACTTGCCACCTCTCGCCCAACGCTCTCCGGATAGCTGTGCAGCACGCTGGTGTGGCCCTGATCATTCTGAATCACCAAATGCAGCGACCTCCACTCAGAGTACATCGTGCCGCTAAAGAACTATCCAAACGGCACCTGAAAAGACAAAGGAGAATTCCACGTCAGATTACACTGCTGGAAGCTAATAAAAATAACTAAAATACATACTTACCCTACATAGCACGATAAAGCAGCTGCCTTGAGATGACTGAGGGGAAAAAAAAAAAACCACCTAAATGTTTTGAGAATGTTCTCAATAGCCTCTTGGTGAGATAAGGCAGGAAAGGCAGACCCTGGGAAGCAGCTGTCTGAGCACCTCCCCAAAAAGAGCCTTCAGAAGCCCAGAGGAGAGCTGGGGCAGATGGCCACCGTGCAAGGGGATAAAATAATCAGATCTGGGGCACTCACAGCATGAGGGAACCCTCCTCATTCCATGTTCCAGGATGGAAAAAGATGGAAGAAGGGTATGCTCCAAGTAGAAAAGGGAGACAAAGGAAAGGGTTTACTCCAAGCCACAGATTTTTCAGTCAACAGTTTCCAAGTTCCTATTACACGCTAGGAACAGACCCCTGCAATTTCCCACCACTACCCTTAAATCAGATATAAAATTCTTCGAGAACATTTCATTCTCTACAGCAGTGGCATACCCTCTTCTGGTAATGGAACACCTGGAACTCAGTATCCTTCAGAAAATCTATTAAGACCTGCCACTTACTGAGCATGTATTACCTACTGCGCATGAAAGTATCACAACTCTGTGAAAATTAAGTCACATTATCCCTATTTCACAGATGAAAAAACTGAGGCATAGAGAGGTGTGCTGCTTCCCTGAGGCTTCAGAACCATAACATGATAGAGCTGGGTTTTGAGTCCATATCTGTTGCGCTCCACGGACCATGCTCTTTGACCGGAGCACGTACTGCCCCTCTCTAGCCTATAGATTCTCCACGATATAGACTGCTTTTCCCAGTGCTGTATATTCTCTATGAAACAATATCTAAGTCTACTACACAAATAAAAAATTCTAGCCACAGAAAATGTTATTTATGTGATTACAATGTAAATATTATAATCACAAACGCCATATTCATGAAGCAAATCAAGGATGATTGGTCCTTTCCAATTCATTTCTGTAAACTTTCACTTTCTACTTGCTCTGAAATCTGTTGGCCCAACCAACAGAGTTTAAGGGTACATTTATTTTTTTTTTCCATTTATTTTTATTAGTTGGAGGCTAATTACTTTACAATATTTTAGTGGTTTTTGCCATACATTGACATGAATCAGCCATGGATTTACATGTATTCCCCATCCTGAACCCCCCTCCCTTAAGGGTACATTTAAACTTTAAAAAGTTCCATCCCTTAAGCTAGTTTTTCTTCAAATGGGTAGCTTTGTTTAATTTTATCTTAGAAAACCTCATTCCAGCTCAACAAGTACCAGTGTTTTTCAAGAGGATATGGCCCTCCTCTGACAAGAGTCCCTGAAAACACAAAGGCAGAAGGGATGAATCAGCATCAAACAAGGTACCTACAATGTGAAGGATGGGTGGATATAAGACTCTATTAAAGTTGCCTCAGTCTCCTTAGGATTTATAAGGAACCCCCGACAAGGGTGGTGTCCCCCCACACCCTGGCTGCCCTAAAATAACTCTCTCAAAACTGGAAGGAAAAAAAGGGGAAACTCTGATAGGGTGCGGGGAAATTCTGATAGGGTGCCATTTCATCAGAGGACAACTTATACCCACACATTTTTTTCTCACCTTTTTAAATAAGCATATATACACATAAATACATATACATATAGTACACAGTATAATATACATACACACACTATAATCTCTTACCTAAATGCACAGGAACATTATACTACAGGGTTTTTGGTTTTAGTGTGATTTTTCACCCTTTTCATTTGTTTGCCTTCATTCCCTAGCCAAGTAATTCACTTCCCAGAATAGATAATCCATTTAAACAACCTAACATGTCCTCTTGTATTTTGCTCAGTCATATTAAAATAATTTATATACACACAAAGCTAGGAACTATATACTTTTTCCCATTCACCAGTACTTCACAAATATACTTCTTTCTAATAACAGATTCTTTTTCATGGTAATGTACTATTCTAATTTATTCAACCAATCTCCTAATAATGGTTTTTTCAGGAGAAAAAAACTAACATATTTATTTCATTTCCTATTTTTTGTAATAAATAGAATACTCCTAATATGTTTACTTCATTTCCCATTTTTTGTCACTAGGAAATAACAATGCAAAAAATAGGCTTGTTTATATATCCTTAATCAGTGGCATTTAAATTTCTACAAGGGAAACTACTGGATCAAAGAGTATATGTATTTTTAATGTTAACAGGTCTCGCCAGATTGCTTCCCCAAAAGCTGTAATAACTCCCATTCACATTAGGAATGGATGAGAGCCTTTCCATCTTCTTACTCCCAATCTTTTGCCAAGAATCAGATTTACTTATGTATTTATTTATTTATTTGCCAGTTTGGAGGTATGAAATGAAATTTCACTATTCTAACCAAATATATTTTTATTTTACACCTTTCTAGTTTTGAGTCTGCCTTAGAAGATTTCTCCCTCCTATCCTTCACATCAGTGCTTTTCAAAATGTGGGTCATAAAAATAAATGTAATAGATAATACTTTTTAATCATATGGAATAGAATATATAATAAAGGCACCATACACAGTAAAGGTAAGCAAAGTTCTGTGAAATCTTGTTTCATTTTTTATATATGCGTATGTTCTGGGTCACAATATAAAATACATAAAATATTTATTATGGGTCTAGGTCCAAAAGTTTAAAAACATAACCCTAAAATGTATATACGTAGTCTACTAGATTTCCAAGAAAGATAATTTGGTCCTCACATTTAAGTTTTTGCCATCTGGAATTTACTTCTATAAGTGTTACAGGAAAGATCCAATTTTATTTCCTCTAAGATTTATAGTCAGTTGTGTCAACATCATCTATTAAAAACACATCCTTGGGACTTCCCTGGTGGTCCAGCGGTTAAGAATCTGCCTTGATTAGCCTCCAACTAATGAAAACAAAGGAAAAAAATAAAAAGAATCTGCCTTGAAATGCGGGGACATGGGTTTGATCCCTAGTTGGGGAACTAAGATCCCACATGGAGTGAACAACTAAGCCCCTACACTACAACTACTGAGCTCACATGCTCTGGAGTCTGAGCACACAACTGGAGAGCTCGAATGTTGCAGCTACTGAGCCCACACACCACAACTAGAGTCCACGCACCGCAACAAAAGACTCTGAGTGACGCAACCAAGACCTGATGTAGTCAAATATAAATTTTTTTTTTTAAATCACACCCTTTCCTACTGACCTGAAATACCAATTTGTCATATATTAAATTCCCATTTATGTAGAAATTTACAAACCTCTTCTGTTCAACTGTCTGTCTACTTCTATGCTCATGTTATCATGATTTAAATTCAGTGGCTTTATACAATGTTTTAGTATCTAGAAAGCAAGCTCCCTTTACCTTGACTATTTTTTTTCCAAAACTTTCTTAGGTATTCTCAGGCATTTACTCTTTTATATAAAATTTAAGATGATTTTATCCAAATAAAGGAAAAAACCTTGCTGAAATTCTAATTGAAACTGCTTATCCACCTTCCCAGTTTTATCTTCTACTGCCACTTTCCCATCCCATCCTCCAAGCAACGGCCCCAAGAACTACTGATGATTGCTCAAACTCAACAAGTTTTTTCACACCTTATTATTATAACTCATGCTGTACCCCACTTCAATTCACCTTATGAAGTCTCTACCCTTCAAGGTACAGCTCAAGTATCCTCTTTGGGAAAACTTTTTTTTTTTTGATCCTCCAATCACCCCTCTACCCCATCTCTGAGTGCCTATTACAGGCTATGCATTTTAAGTGTCACGTTAGGTTATTCGTTAGCTTTGTAAAGATATCTTTTACCACAAGTGTGTCAACCTTTTTTGAGGGGAAACCTCACTTCCTGAATCTTTGAGAAGTCCTTGGCACACAGTGCGTACTGAAAGTTTTAGAATGCCAAGGTTTACCAATGGGGAAAAGGAAGATGTTAGAAGCTGTTCCCTTTATGCCATCGAAGGAAGTCCAAAATTTTACATGCTGTATACAAACAAAAAATTGAAAATGTCCATTTGCTTTAAGGTATTTATTAGTTAAAAAAAAAGTAGTTGGAAGGTTTTCAAATATTTAAGGAATATTTAAGTAATATTTAGTGTCCATTCCAGGCAATACATTATTGGAGCGGAAAAAGTGTTTTAAGGAAAAAAGAAGACAAGCTAGCTTTCAAACTCCACTGTACACATAAGAATAGCCTTTCTAGTTTAAAATGCGGATTCCAAAACTCCATCCCTAAAAAGCTTGATTCTATAGGTCTGGGTTAGGGCCTGGGAATTTGCTTTTAAGAAACAGCTACCACCCTTCTCAATTCTGAAGTATAGACAGGAGTATCTTTCTTGAAAAACACTCTGGAAGACCAATCAAACAGGACTGCCCCCCCAGAGGGTATCTGGGAAACATTAAGTGCACTTCTGGTTAACATTATGATCAGGGCATGCTACTGGTTATTTACGGGCAGATCCAGGTTACTTATGGGCAGATCTTCTTAGAGTTCAGAAGACAGTCCTGCACAATGAATAATTATACTACAATTATGCTACATTTTACCTGACTTTCTAATGTCTGCCAGAAAAATCATTGTGTTTTCAATTGTCTAAGCCTAAAAATCTAACTTTTACTCATATATACAAAATATTTTGTGGTGTTTTAATATACACCAACACAATTAACCCTGCAAACTGAGGAAAGTTTTTCATGTTCAGAACCTTACTATACCAAGAACTGTTCACCATTTCAGAACAAGCACATCACCAAAAGTGATAGCATTTTGTGGTATCTGAGTTGCTAATACCACACACTGCTTTCAGGAACACAATCACAAGAACTTCGTATATACTTAGCTCTTATTTCAAAATGTCAAATATGAAGTGCCATATTGCTGCCTTACTTCTCAATTTATAAGCAGACACAAGCATCTGACCACTTTATAT